TCATGGATCTTACATTCCAGGTTCCTATGGAATATAGAACTTTGCAGCATCGGACTCTCCTTTCACCACCAGATACATCTGCAACTGAGTGTCCTTTGAGCTTTGACCCAGTTGCTTCATTCTTTCTGGCATTACTTGCACTAGCCCTCCGCCCTTCCCCAGTAGCATATTGGACACCTTCTGACCTGAGGGCTCATCTTCCGACGTCGTGTCTTTTTGCCTTTTGGCACTGTCCATGGGGTTTTCATGGCAAAGATACTGGAGTGGGCTGCCATTTCCTTCTCCAGTGGATCACGTTTTGTCAGAGCTCTCTGCTATGACCTGTCCGTCTTGGGTGGCCCTACACGGCATAGCTCATAGCTTCATTGAGCTACACAAGCCCCTTCACCACAACAAGGCAGTGATCAATGAAGGAGGAAGGGCAAGATTGAAAAACTTTAAATAAACAATCAACAATCAACTCATTCTGGCATCTTGCCAGGTAGATTGGCATGATAGGTGAACATACCCAATATGATTAGTCCTAATTGCTTGAACGTGAGGCTGGGGGGGGGGGTCACACATTGAGCTGGCATTCTTCATGTCCAGACTTCTTAGTTTTAAAAGGAAAGGGAGACATACATTGAAGAGCTATTGATTTCACAGTGCCCATTTCTGGAGAATTTGATATAAGTGTGGTTTGTTTCTTGTCTGTAGGATGTGAAATCCATAGCATATTTGATTAAGCTAAAGGAAGAAGCAAAAGAAGTCCTTACAGCTCTCACAGTTTACTCACAGAAGATGTAGTTCTCAATACAAAGTGAGACATTCCAGCTGAGTGTGCCACTCACTCCCAGTACTTTCTCTTACTTGCCACTTCTTCTTTCATTCTGCTCCTTTGGGAGAACCTCCTGCATTTGCAGACTATTTCAGCTACTGCTCCTCTCTCACAACATTGGAGTTCAGGAAAGGCAAGGAGTTGGTAAAAGAAATGAATGATGGTAGGGCCACTGAATTTGGAAAAAATTTTGGGAAATGCTATAATGCCTTCAAAAAATGATCCAGTGAAACTTGGAAAAATCTGCCCCATGCAGAATCTAGAAGAGTGAGGTTTGGCCCATATGTATTCAGTTAAGGTCATGCCTATTCCAAGTTGCCTTTTCAGTTGGAATGTGGACCAGTCAAATTGGTATGGAATAGTGTAGGATCCTCAGAAAGTTTGAAAGAGCGTCTTTTGAATTATAGTTTGCAAAAAGCACTTGCTGTGGTTGTGCTTTAATATCAGTCCTGAGAAGAGAATATGGAGGTAGAACATGTTATCACGCTATAAGAACCTGAAAGACTGTCACAAAGAGGAAGGACAAGATTTCTTCTCTCTCATACCAGAGTTAGGATACGGAATAATCAGCTCAGGTTGTGACAAACCAGATTCGGGGTAGATAACAGGAGAAGTTTCCTAACCGTCAAAGCAATACAACAGTGGAACCAATTGGCCACAAAGGTTCATACTGGAGATGTTCAAAAAGAAACTGGACAGTCATTTGAGTGATTGGTCTAAATTGGTGTCCTGTAACAGGAGGGGGTTGGACTCAACGGCCTTCTTGACCCCTTCCAACTCTACTTTGATTCTCTTACCACAGTGATTCTGGCAATACTGTTGAAAGTCACTGTACCCTTTTCCTTAAACAAAAGGGAATCTTACCTGTGGCATTCCCACCTAGTACATAGGCCAGTATCATCACTGGTTGTATTCACGGTGAGTATATGAGTAACTGGGCCAGAAGTACAGATTCCTGAAAAAGAATATCATGTGGCTTTAAGACACGGGTGGAGATGGGTCCCTACTGCATATGTTCCATGTGCTATGAAGCTTCCCTGCTTGTCTTGGCACTTGTTATTATAGCTAAATGGTGTTTCTGTACAAAGGTATGAACTTCTGTGTGTTAATTCTAGGAACACTGGTTCAAGTTTAAGTATATTTAGATGTTATAGCTGGTGTGTGGGACCTTATAGAGTAGTCCATATAATCTTCTATTTGTCAATTTAAGTACAGGTTGGAAATGAACTGGATTTCTTCTGAAAAGTTAATCCACGCTTATTGTGTATTTAGCATATAAAAGTTGATTACCATAATGTATGTTTTAAGACAAAGTAAGATAATGAAGAAATTTTCAATAACCAATTCCATTTCTTGGCAATCTACAACAAGTCTTAGTTATTTCCACACTGCTTCATACTACCTGTTGTTAAAGAAAAATGAAGACACTTACAATATGATTCTGTACGGGCTTACTCAAAAGTCAATATCTGTTCTCAGTTGATTTTAGTCCTAGGTAAATATCCATAAGATTGCAGCCAGAGGATCAGAATCCAGAAAAGTACTGCCCCTAAATGTAGTGTGTGTTGGCAAAAAAGATTTTACAGGGAAATCAGTTATACCAGCAAATGTTATTGATACTGACTAGAGGTCGCTTATACTAGGGGACATCGTGTTAGTGGTACTGTCATACTAGGTACTGTCCCGGCTATCCATTTAGTAAGAGCACAGTAAACCTTATTTTTTAATTAAACAATTGACCTAAACATTCTCAACATTCATTTGTGTAGTTCATGTTTCTTCACTAAGGGTTTATTTGATTGATGACATTAGAGGTTTAATATAATTTCAAATAAAACTACTATAAAAAGCAAAATAAAATTAAAATACCATAAAAATAAAAATGTTAAAGCAAGAATATTCAATTATTAATTTGGCATATTTATATAACAAGTATGCATAAATAAGCCTTTGGTAGATTATGCTATTAACTGGGAAATCCTCATATGTTTTAATGGATATCCTACTGAAATATACCAAAGTCACTTCTCAAAAATCTAATTACTTTTGTGTGGTGGTAGACAAAAACAGGCCCAAGGAGTTCCATTAGACAGAATTGGGCTGTGTCCACTGCTGATGTGGAACCTTTGAACTCCACTCAGTTAGGGAATTTTGTGTAATCCTAATGGAATTTGTTGCCGAAGTAGTCAGTTGTTGCTGCTGCTGCTGCTAGTCGCGAAGTTGCGTCCGACCCATGGCGACCCCATGGACAACATTCCTCCAGGTTTTCCTGTCCTCCACCATCCCCTGGAATCCACTTAAGCTCACACCGACTGCTTCAGTGTCCATAGCAAAAGTCATGCATTGAGAATGGGTTTGACCACTGGGAATTATATGATAAAAGCACAATGTGATACATGTGTTTTATGGGAAGTATCTGGAACTCTGTGGTATGCACATTTTTTAAAAAACTGTTTCAATCCATTGTTTAAACTTTGAAGGGACAGACTAATGCAAATGATTAATGCCACTTCTATGGGGAACGCTGGTTTGGCTATATATATATTGGAGTAAAATCCATTAAGAACTAAGAGTGACTGTATGAGTGTGTTGTTCAGCCTAGTCTTCCCTTGTCAGTCATTAAAAATGAGAGAGAGGTTCAGTGTAGACTTCATCCTATTTTCTAGTTTATGGCATGATGTCAGAACATTAAAAAATAAGACACTCAGCCCTTCTGATGGTATACTGCCTCTTTCTGGCTCATGTATGGGTTGGCTGTGCTGATCTAACTGGGCATCAAAATAATGTCTCTCTGGAATGCAGAATCTAACTTTACAAGGAGAAGTCATGTTTCCTCATCTGGTAGATTGTTTGGAGTGGCAGGAGATACTTTCTCTAGAAAAACCTTGTCTCGCCTCTCCCCCACTTTGATCAGCTCTTATATTGGAGTGTAAAATTGGAACAACCCCTTTTCCAAACCCCTCTTAGAACTAGATTGTGAATATGAAACAAAGTATTTATTAACCTGCATCTCTACAAGGTTGCAGTCTGGTGAGGTAGGCAACTATTCCGACTTTGCCACCAGTGGTAATACTCTGTATAGTGGGTGTGGGACAGGCAAGAATGAGTAATTTAGGGGAGGAAAAATACATTGGTGATGAAGCAAGGGTAATATGGTGAGGGAGAGTCTGCTGGAGTCTTTGTTCCTTAAAACAATTTTAGTCCCTAATCCCTCCAGTGGCCCCTCTGTAATTACCATCAAAAGTGGTCTAATTCTCATACTACTCCTAAACTACTATTTGGAAACATTTAAACAAATAGAAGCATTCACTGGCATTATCTGGAGAGACTCCTTTAAATAGTGCTGCAGTTATCTCCCCCAGAGGTCATCTTTGGATGACATCCCTTAGGCCAAGGGTGGGCAATTAATTTTCCTATGGGGCCACATGAGAAACTTTGCCAGTTGTTAAGGGCTGGACCAATACACTTACAGCTCTGCTCAATATATATCTCTATGAAAACAGTAAATGAAACATTACAATGATACAATGAAAATGTGGAGCACAGAACAACACTATTTAATGAATATTCACAAAAACATTAACATTAACATTACATGAAAAGCAATAAATTCAATTCAATTTTGCTTATATAGCGCAAATTTACAACATATGTAATCTCCCAGCGCTTACCATAGTAAGGTATAGACCTTACAAATTATAACAGAACAGAGAAACAGAAAACTCAACAATCCAAGTTGCCTTTGGATTCCCTATAAATGCATCCAGCTTTGTTTGTTTGCATTACCTCAGTTCTTTTTTGTTGTTGTTGTTCAGTGAGAGAAATCTAGTCTGTTTTAGGCTTGAACGATGATATATATTTGCACTGACTTTTAATTTGCCAGTGACCTTATGCGGGCCAGTCAGGGTCAGCCATCGGGCCGGATGTGGCCCGTGGGCCGTACAATGCCCACGTCTGCCTTAGGCTGTCATGGGCTATTTAATATGGTTTGGAACTTCAGTGGAAGGTGGCACTAACAGAAGGGTTATTCACCAAATAGGTCTAATGTGTCTGTGAATGGTGTATGCTGTCCATTCTGGTGGCCTTCAGATCTGTGGCCTCTTTATTTTTAATGGTACTTCATCAAACCAAAAAAAATGTTTACGCCAAAAGCTAAAGTTAACTTTATAACTAAACAATGCAGGACTTAAAGAAAGATCTGTCCCAGAACAGCAAATGACAAGAGATGAAGAAGAGGTGATCCCACCTGCAGAGCAGCCAAATATGAGAGCAGGTAACTTCTTGCATAAATAAGATCACAGAAGTATCATACACTTTTGCAGGAGTATAAATCTTCAGAACATCTGACTTTCAGTTACAGTTAGAGCAATCCTATGTCCTCTAGGTAGCATCCAGAGGGCCATAGGATTATTTGGATTCCCAGCTCCAAGGTCAGGAACTGCTGAAACCTTGGATCTAAGTATCTGCAATCTTCCCACAATCCCAGCACCCTATTGCAAGAGTGCTTTTCCACCTGAAGCTTCAGCTAGGGGCCAGGATTGCTGTGTGAAGACATTGCCCAGCTAGAGACCCCCTGGAGGAGTCAGATGAAGGTAATCTTAAAGTTGTTTTGCATATGCAACAAATATATTTCATGACAGATCAGTGCCCACAATGAATCTAGTCTCTGGTTCATTAATTGTTCACCTGTACATTTGCATAGAAGCAATTTAAATGTGCTTCTCATAGAAGCAGATGAAGAATAAGATATAAGTTACAACTGATGAAAAATGAGGCTTGAATGTAGATGTAAGCACATGCAAATCTCTGTTCCCTCCTCATGGCAGCCTCTCCTGCACCCCCCCCACCCCGTATACAGAGGGCTGTGGGACCCTGTGGGTGGGGGAGGTGGAGTCCTTCAAAACTGGGTGGGTGCACCTTCTGTGAGCAGAGCCCTTCCATCCATTAAAGGCAGAAACTGTACCAAACCCCAAGCCCTTTTTGTATCTTTGACATTCTGTTTGGTGGCTGTTGGGATTGTCCCTGAATGGCATATTTGTGTAACAGAATGGATTTCATGTATAGTATTTCAGACTATTCAGATAAATTATTAAGTAGCCTGGAATACTATTAGGTAGTTTAAAACATGAAACAGAACTTTAAAATCACCCCATACAATTAAACATATTCAAATTCTATGTTTGTATGTTTCTAAATTGAGATTGAGATTTACATCAAGACATTTTTATCTCTTAATATGTCCAATTTTCCTTCTTTTCAGGGCATGGGTATAGTAAAATGAAATATGTATCTTGTGTAATGATATTTCTGAAACTTTAACAGGCTTTCTAATGGTTCATGCCTTTGTGGAATATGCCTGGGTCACTTCCATACATTCCCAACCCAATATACATAATGTTAAAGTTTATTATCATATCACAGCATTTTCCCCACAGATGGGTGCACATCAGCATACACAGCTGAATGTGCAAACAGTGGCACTTATGATAGCTTTCACTTGGTTGTTATTTAAAATCATATTATGTTGAGTTCCTTTTTTCAGATAATGACAACTTTGAATGTCTGTACCTTGCTAGAGTTAAAATAATTAGTAAGTCTTCATAGTGAGTTTATTTTGGTACTTTTGGTAGAGGGGAAGTAAAGCACAATAAATTAAAATGAAAACTATGAACTTCATAAATACTCTTAAAATATGAGCTGTCTGGCATTGGAACATCAAATTATACACATAGAAAGCAAAATTATGTGGTGAGAATTATGCAATAGGCTATATTTCATTTATGATAACATTCATACCCCACTTTTTCTCTCTTGCAAGGAAGCCAAGTTGGTTTACATGGCTCTCTTTCTCACCATTTATCCTCAACAACACTGTGAGGGAGTTTATGCTAAGAATCAGTTATTATCCCAGAGTCACACAGTGAACTTCATGGCTGGGTGGAAACTAATACACAGCTCAGCAGTCTGAAGAATTTTTACTATTACAACACCATAGTTGTATTTGAAAATGCTCTTCAATTTGCATGTTTTCACCTGAGCTTGGGATTGTTGCAGGAGTTGATAGTTGTAGGTTGTAGATTCAGTTTACCTTGTAAAATTCTGTTACTGCAGAAGGGCACAATTGTAAGTGGCAACCAATAGGATGACAAAGACCGAAGAGATGTTTTAAACCTGTGGGAAGCTCATTTAGTCAACCAGGGCTTTATATTACTTGAAGAACTCCACTGAACAGCTACATGTAAACAAAACCACAAAGTAAAGCCTTCACTGACTTCACTGCCCATAGTAGGCACTATTACGCATGTAAGTCCATTGCTACTGGCTTTCCAGCTTTCATCTGGCCTGCCTCACCACCCAAAACTTTGCAGAAAACTGCAGGGCAACTTTGACTCCACAGTGCCGTAGAGAATGCTCAAGAGATCACATCATTTGTTTTATTTACACTATTCATATACTGTAAATAAGTAAGCAAATTCTGTAGCAGTAAACAGTCCAAGCTAAAACAAATAGAACAGAACTACACATTAAAAACAAGATAGCCTGTTTTGCCTCACTATTCTGTAGTTCCAAGGTAGACCACTAAAAGCAGCGACACCTGTTTATTTATTTAGTAAGCTTCTATGCTGCCCCATTCGCCGAGGCCTCGAGGCGGCTCACAATAAATAAATAATCACAATATAGGAGGATACAAGGCAAACCTGTCATTTTGTAGTTGGCCATTCTTCTTAACCTGGCACTGTATAATTGGGCTAACAATTTAAGTTTGCCTCCACCTATCTCAGATTGTGCCCCTGAATCCCCCCAGCCCCAAATTTTGAAACGTTCTGGTTCTCAGCAACCACTGACTTATCTCTGGCTTTGGTATTTCAGCTACAATTTCCAACAATTTTCAACTTTTTCTCTTCCACTTTTGAATCAGAATCCATGTCAGCAACCTTTGAAGACTATATTATAGCTGAAGTGGGTCCAATCTCTGTAAGGAGCCAGGTATGAGGGATTGAAGCAGGATCAAAAAGATGACTGGCCTGCAATACTCCCTCCTTCTCTGATGATTAGTCCTCCCCACCTCAAACACATACATAGCTTATCTACTTTCGTCTGTAGTCACAATAACATTGGCAGCTCAATCAGCCTTTTCTGTGCCCAGTCACATTTTGATCCAACCTTTTACTCACTCAAGGAAACACATTCACCCAGTTCAACATACTTGTGCCTCATATGCTTCCAGTCAACCAGATCAGTACCCATGCATAACATAAATAATAGCTTAGATAAATACAACAGTTTTAATACATTATAATAAAAGATCTAACTAGAAGACATGCTTTCTTTAAAAAAAAGTGTGTAAATGAGTTGATAAACTGGCAAGGCACTATTGATTCCTAACAACACTTGTAGTGATGTTAAATACAGCGAGAAATGTGTCTTGTTATGAAAACAGACTCACTTTCTATATTCTTTTCTCATAAGAAAGGTCAAGGGCATGTTTTGACCTAATTACCAGAAGACCTGCGGTCCCCAGAGAGGTCCGCCTGGTGCTGTCATTACATGTTTTTCGGCGCCAGGTCAAGACCTTTTTATTTAATCACTATTTTAATATGTTTTAATGAGAACTGGTTTTTATTGTTTGTATTTTATTAATTCACAGCCAGAGTGGAATTGCCAATTTATCTATTTTATCTTGACCTATGTTGTAAGCCATCCAGAGATGCAAGTAATGGACGGCATACAAATTTTATTAATAAATAAATAAATAGTGGAATTTATGGTATGAGCAGGAGTTTTCAGAGTTTTTTTAAGTCAGTTTTATAGGATTGCCTTAGAAGTATAAGAATAAAAACGTCATGGTGGGTGAGAAATAGATATTTGTCATAGTTAGAGTGTTAGATTGGGTTCCTGGGAATCCCCACTCAGCCATGAAACTCACCGGATAACTGTAGGAGCAATCACAGGCTCAGTCTAACCTACTTTGCGGGGTTGATGTAAGGCTAAAAATAGAATGAAAGAAAACTATGTAAGCTACCTCAAGTTTTTTTCAAGAGGAAAAAAGGTGAGATATAAATGAAATATAATAACAACATAGCATGCACTTGTGGAACTGATTTTTAATGATACTTTTCCCAGTGCTATCAAGATATTTGTGATCCATCCTCTCAACAGGTCAAATCTTTTCAATTTTTCATGGAAGAATTTGTTTTCTGGTTTTAATTTCACTAACATTTGATGTATTCTCTAAACTAATGTAGAACATAAAATTGCTGAAGCAGAACCTGAAGATGAACTTGAGTCTATGCTACATGAGGTCCTCGAATCACAACTTGGTATGCATTTGTACTTTAGCCATGATTTTTTCAAAGTGCTAATATTTTCCACTTTTTGAGAATCAAACACTTACTTTGATAAAAAAAAAATGTTTTTGTAGCTAACCGTATCTCAGTGAGCACTGTACCACAGTTTTGTTGGTAACTTCTTGTTATTTTTAATAGAATTGTTGTAGTGGCTAATGAATATTCTACCTGTTTCTGGAAAAATGCCATTGTATAGAATTATCTGATCATTATACTAAATGCTTGTGTGGCACAATTCCATAAAACCTGTGCACCTTTAAAATCACTATCTATGAAGAAAGTGCATTGAAAGTGCATGTAAACATTGTAAAAATGTTTAATTTGGTTGGATTGTATTCATGTTATCTGGAGTATTAAGAATACTTCTCATATGCCGGTGCAGCAGTGGGGGTTCTGAATGAAGGAAATGGTAACTTAGAGTTGACTAAGGAATACAAGTGAGACTCTTTTACTGCATGTTTGAGTATACTGCTTTTGTAATATTTTTCAATGTTTTAAGATCAACCCAGTGAAACAGATGAAGAACATGTACACAGAGAAGCAAATTTTCAGCAGGAGGAGGAGGAGGAAGAGACTAATGAAATACCTGAAATTCCCACAGTAGAGGATTCCTATAATGGAGAAATGGAAGATCAAATAATGCCTGAAGTATTAGAAAGCGCTGGATCTGTAGAGGAAGGTATAAGAAGCACTATGCATATTTCTGATACGTATTTCTCGATGTGCAGCAACGAAGCACATTGCTGAACCACATTAAGGAAGGGGTGATATTGTATATTTGGTGTAGTTTTGTTTTCTTCTGTCAGATATTTGTCATATTTTGTCATTGGTAGAGCACATGCATGCAAGGTTCCAGGTTCAGGTAGGGCAAGGAAAACTCTTGTCAGAAGCCCTGGACAGCAGCAGCACCTGAAGGCAGCGGGTGGAGGATCTTACACAGATAATGGTAGTTACTCTTAAGCTAACTCTGTTCAGTACCGCATAGAAGAAGGCAATGGTAACCCAGTTCTAAATATCTCCTATGAAGACCCTATGATGAAACAATACAAAATGAAAGAAGAGAGATTGCCAGAAGACCCCCCCCCCATGTCAAAATGCACTCAACTAGCTACTGGGGGGGGGGGGAGTAAAGGACAACTATGGCTATCATAGATCAAAGTTAAAAGGAAGTCTAATGGTTGACATGCACAGAGACAAAAGGAAAGTCTGATGCTGCAGGATACATGCATCTGGAATGGAATGGTGAGAAGCATGAATCAAGGCAAACTGGATACCCTAAAGCAAGAAATGGAAAAGTTAAAGTACTTGGTGTGAATGAACAAAAGTGAACAGGATGTTTCAGTCAGATAATCATGAAGTGGTTCACTCTGGAAATTACAAACACTGAAGAAACAAAATGGCTCTGCTGCTGAGGCAAGATGTATCAATCAAAATTTGTGTGAAATCTATCAACATAACTATCATTCAGGACTACAGTCCAACAATAAATGCTAAAGCAGAAGAAATTGTAAGTTTTTATGCAAGTGTCCAACAGGAAATTGATAACTGTAGCCTATTATTCTATATGGACAGTGAAAAAGGATGACAGAAAGAACAATGATGTGTTCAAAACATTGTGGGTGGTGGTGAAGTTTATGAATGTTGTTGGTAGTTGTGAAGTCACACCCCACCTATCGTAAACCCATGGACAACATTCCTTCAGGCGAAGTTTATGCATACTTTGGACCAGTATACAAACAAGTGCGTCCTAGGTAAACCAAGCCAGAAATTTCCAAGGAAAGTGATGCAACTGAAGCTGTCATACTTCAGACACATCATGAGCAGGCGAAGGATGCAATAGTTCTAGGGAAAGTTGAAGGGAGAAGAGGACATCCAACAATGAGATGGATAGATTTCATAAGGAAAGCCACTGGCTTTCATTTGCAAGAGCTGAGCAAGGATAGGACATTTTGAAGAGCATTCATTCTCACCAGATTTGGAAATGATCTGATGACATGTAACAACAAATTATATAGACCTGTTCGATCCCATTTAGGTATGGCATAGAGTGTGTGAATATTATTTATTAATTAAAAGCATTTCTATCCCATCCTTCAACTGGGTCTCAGGACAGTAATGCAACAATAAAGCATAGCATCAAACAACACATAGCCCATTTTTAATACAGTCATCAGATATTAATATATTGGGGAAATAGCTAGGATGACTGCCTTCAAGCTAATTTCTTGGTGACATGTTTAAATATGTGGCTTTAGCCAACAGTGTAATACTTGTTTAAGAAAACAGCAGTTTTTACTGTTGCTCCTTTAAGATGATCTTTTACAGCCTGACAACTTCAGTGTATGCCCTTTGCTTATCTGGATGGGAGATAGTGCTTTCTGAACTCACCTACATCTCTGTACAGGTGAGAGGGTGCAGTTGAGCATATTGAACAGTATCCACCTCACTGCTCACTGTACAAACCTCCAAGTATAGATTCCTCTGTCATATCCTCAATTATCTATCCAGACCTTTGCTGGACAAGATTTTTATATTGTTTGCAGGCAATGATACATACATTATGAGCCAAGCTACAAAATTTGCCCTCGCTACTAGAATAATAAGGGCTAGGGAGCACCCCACAGTTTTATACTAATTTTATAGAAAAGGATTATTTTAAAGCATCAACTTTATTATGGATATGATCATATTCCTAAACTGATACTTAGATCTAATTTTAACTAGTTCATTGTTAGAGGCATGCCTAGAACATTTCTGATTCTTAAAGCGGGTGGGCTTCTTCTGGAAGATTGTTGTTGTCAAATAGGGCAGGAGCAATGTGATGTGCATACTAAGAGACAGCTTCAGCTGTGGGATGGTATAGAAATGTCATAAATAAAGGGCCAGAGGGCTGGCTACATCTGCAGCTCTTGTACCATGTACACCCTTCTGCTTTAAATCCTAGTTCCATTTATTTTAGCAAAGTTAATCCTTTATAAAGTGGTATGTTAGTTTGGTGGTCACCTGCAACTTGACAATATTTTATGTTCACTTTATGTATATTTGAGCAAAACCTTCATTTTCCATCTTTTCAGAACGGGCAAGTGACTATCAAGCAAGAGAGTTTGAAGTAGATGCTGCTGCTGGTATGTCTATTTTTCATAATACCTTTGAAAAGTACTATGTATCAAGTGATGAACATACATTTGTGAATTGACCCTAAATATCTCCAGTTTGTATATAGCACACTTGATAAACTTCATATTGTGAAAAGGTCAATATGAAGGAATATGTGAAGTGTTCCATTTCAGCTAATGGACCACAGTGTAATCTAAGATGGACCATACCAAAAAAGTTCCATTGCTATTTCTCATTTTTATTTTATTGAAGGGAAACCTCTACTTAGTGAAAAGGGGTTAACTCATAGATGAGAAATATTGATCAGGGTAGATGTGACATACAGAAGAAGTCCACTCTAGGTGTAGGGATAGCATACATACACCCTGTAATGCAAGTAGTAATGTACTAGGAAGGCTAACATAACTGTTAAAATGGCTGTGACAAATAATCTTTCATGGAATATAAATTCTTGTTGGGAACCAAAAGGTAACATCAGCACTCCTATTGAAGAAAACAATTCTTTGTCAAACTGTATGCCAGTGCCATGACTGGAATGCCACTCTGCAGTATGGGTAAAGTGGAAACATGAAAGGAGACAGGAAGGCCAACAACTAAAGTGGCATGCCTATAGAAAGAACAAAAGAGGGATTGAAGGAAAGGCAGAAAATACATTAAAATTTAGGCATGGGTCCTGTTCTGGAAATTGAGAGTTAAAGAAAGGATGCCAGTGTAAAACAGCTAAATATCACTGATGTGAACAAATATATATGGTACTTCAAAATACTTAAGCTTGTGGAAAGTCAGATGGTGGTAACATTGCAGAAAGAGGAAGGTCCATGAAAATTGGGCAGAGACAACTTCTCTAAGAGGGAGCTCCGCTTCTGGAAATTTGTTCGGTTCAATTTCCAGAATTACCCTTTCACACTCACCTTCTTCTGTTTTGGGGGAGAAGTGGCTATCATGGCTAGGATGGACTGCTGTGGGGAGAAGCAGGTGGCAAAGTTGCACACACAACTTTGGGCTGAACTTGAGATGCATTCGTTATAGTTAATCCAGTCTGAAGTCCTATTTAAAGTTACCCAGAAGTAGGGCCCATTGAACATAATTGCATTTTTGAATTAACTTCAAATTAACTGGTTGGCCTGTTAAATGACTAAATAGGACACCTGGATTAAAGATTTTGAGGTATTATCTACTACCATTGCTTTAATTTGGCAATATCAGTTCTGTTGTTGAAGAAATATTTTGCTCCAAATTTTCATGGCTACCATTGATCAAAGCTCGGCTTTTCTAACTTTAGTTCTTCGGGGGATTTTTTACCATCTACTAACTGCTCCTCCTCCTCTTACAATTGTATTGATAGATGCTTCTTCTGTAATGTTAACTCTTTAATTTTCAGTTACAGATGAACATCATGAACAAGTGGAAGAAGGCACATATGAACCAGAAGGCACAGGTTTGTTTGAACATTACACATTCATGTGCAATAATTTGTGTTAATAATGAATGCATGCCTGTTTCTTCATGTCTAAACAAGCTGGTGTGCAATAGCACTGTAAATATAGATCATAGTTCTGCAAATTTTTAAGCTCTTGGGCACATTTTACATTTTGAAAAAAATACCCTGGGCAGCATTACAAATTAGCTCTGTGGTGAGGGTTGGGGTGATCATAAACGGTTGGGAGTGTGTCCTAATGTTCTGTGTTTGCACATGAATGTGCACAGGGAGTACATTCACACATTATACCAACCTATTCCAGGAATAAGCCACAGTGGATTAGTTAGATTCAATAGATGATCAAGCTCACTGTAAGCTGTTCAGTTTCTCTTCCCCTTCTCCCTTGGTCATTCTACACTGCAAGTGATCTAAATTGTTTCCTTATCCCTTCTAAAATTGCAAGCCATCTTTGGTTCACTGAGGCTATTTTGCACATTTTTGCCCTGCAAGCATGGCTTTTGCATTTCGTATATTGATAGACACTGTCAGCCTATGTCCGAGTAGCACCTTGGAGGGACTTTAATGGCTTGTGGATTAAAGTTTTTGTGGAAATGTTAAAAATGTGTGCATTATGCACAAATAGATTTTTTATGACTGTACTCATTCAGGTCAGAAATATGAAGCCTCTCCTGGGCCAATGCACCATTGCCAAAATACAGCTGTTATGAACCCTGAATATTGTCTAAAAATGCTCTAAATAGGTTTTTTTTACTTTGCTTTTTCTTAAAAGCTTCCAAAGGGCAAGCAATCTTTCTTTACAAAAATTGAGTGGTTTGATTTATACCCCTTTGAGAATAAAGTTCTTAACTTTGTCTCTTCTCCCACCTACTGCAGTTCACAGACTGGTGCACATTTTGTACTTTTCATCAAGATTCTTGGTGCTCAGGAATATGCAAAAAAGCACCCCTTGCCTTTTCCTAAGAAAAAGAAGTTTTAACATCTAGGAACATAACCCATAGCTCAGTGTTGTCCTGTATATGGGATGACAGACTTAACTGAGAAGCCTTCACAGAACTGAATGAATAACATTGAGTGGAATGTGGTAACAAGAGCTATGTTGGGCTGCAAAGCTGGAATTATTTCAGCATAGGCTTGTAATAGCCAGCCTAATTATTGCAATATGAAACAAGGGAAGAAAGTTGGTTAGTCTTCCAAAGGATCCAGGAGGCTCATTTTACTATGCTCACCTATGCTGATGTTAGGTTTTAACTACCTACAACCATTTGTTTTGCCTTAGCTGCATTTTAAAAGGAGCACCACGCTTAAATGAGAATGGTGGAATTAGCACTCAACTGAAATATGTACAGTAGTGTCTAGTACCTAAAATATGTTGTTCTTTTTGTATATATTTGGAAAACTGAAATCTGCCAGGTGAAAGACGGGTGTCTGTCAGCATACAGTGTATTTTGCGACCAGTATTGTTTTTTAACTTACCAAACTTTTCATATACCCAATATTGTATTAGGAAAAGGATGAATCCCCACCCTCCTTGATGCATCAGCCTCATCCTTCTGGTCCACTGATACCCATGTATTAAACCTACTACTTTCATAAACCCACTACTTCCCCTCTCCATTGGAATCTAATTGTTATGGGATAATTAAAGAAATCCTCTTCCCATCTCTTCACTAAGCTTGCAACAGCAGGGGGTTGGACCTGATGGCCTTCATGGCCCCTTCCAAATCTACTGTTCTATGATTCTATGAAGCCCATGGTAGCCTCCTAATCAGGGGTCAGGGATTACAGAGGGAATCCAGGACTTCACAGGCTGATGGGAAATCTCTACTGGCCAGGTTAGGACTATGACCATATGTCCAAATATGATATCCAAAAATAGATATCAGAAGAATGAAGGTGTAGAAAAGCTGGCATATTTCTGATTCCCATCTTCCAGTACAAATAACCAACCACAAGACTTTGGGTCTATTGTAATTTGAATGAAAAGTGCAAAAAATTTGTCTGTCTTTCACAGATGATATGGAGCGAACTCTCGAAGATGCCCTGGAACATAACACAGGTATTGCACAGACGTTTTCAGTTTTATGTATTTCATATATATGAATATGCTTATTTTACTTGTTTTTTTAAGGTGAATTCCATGTAATTCAAAATTTGAGTTATGCTATCTGATAGAATAATCCACGGACACTTCACAATTATGTTGTGGCTTGTTTTAAAAGAATCAAAAGTCATAATTTACTTACATTGTTGAAATGACATATTCCCCCACGACCTGGTCTTGACTACCTTACTACCGGTCTTTTCTGGGGAGGGGAAGTAAAAGGCTATGTGTAGACTTTGTCTTTTCCTTGAAAGTGTATATGCATGTGCAAGAATGTTTCACAGTCTTTTCACACAAAATCCACTCCTATTTTCCTAAGATGTCATAAATTTAAGGATATAATCCAGGGCAAGTGAGGAGTCATGGTGCTACTATTGTTCAACAACTGGGAATTAAAAATCCTTTCCAATCTATTTCAAACACATAGAGAAACATCAGTAGATTCAGATAAACCTTCTGCCCACCCCTGTGTTCAGTCTGTAAAACAAAAGTATCTTTAGCTTGCACCAGCCACAGTTATATCCCTTCTTTTGGACTTCTTGTAAGTAGCTGCCTGGAAGACTACACAACAGCAATTTTTTTTGCATACCTTAACTTTCTACCTACTTGCAGAACCTCTTCCAGAAGGTACAGACCAGCAAGACTATGTGGATGAACGAGGTATGTAGTCTTGTGGCTTTATGACAGCACTATATTAAGACAGGGATTTTAGGTAGGGCATTATTGATTATTTTTAACATCAAATATTTAAGATTATGCTTTAAAATGCCTGCCAAGTTGGTCTCAGGCTTTTTTCTATGATAATTTCCCATGGTCCTGAACTGTTTTGTATGAACACTGCATTCAAGGTGTGAGGTGTTCATACAGGACTTTCTCAGATGATTGGTACCTTCCTTTTTGATATCAATTTGACTAGACACTACTCTGCTGAAACATTCAGGATACCCCAGTGTTTGAAGCTCTAGGCCAGTAATGGCAAACTTTTTAGAAACCAAGTGCCCAAACTGCAACCCAAACCCCACTTATTTATCGCAAAGTGCCAACACTACAATCAAACCTGAAAACTGAGGTTTTAGTTTAGAAAAAACAACTCACAGCCAGTCCAAGCAGGTATATATATCATTTTCAGTAAAGTGACTGGCCATGTGAAAGCTGAGACGTGTCGCAGCTAATGAGTCATGGATCGTGACATCATTGCCTGGCGCCACTACTCTTTTTTGAGCATGCACATGGCCCCTATGTGTGCTGTTATCTGATGCTTGGCTGCTGGGCCGATGCTGGGATGACTTGGCTCACATGCTGACAGAAAAGGTTCTTCGTCGTGGCCTCTGTGCATCACACATGTGGGTACTGCGCCTACGCAGTGCCTGTGGCTGGAAGATTGATAGCTAACGGTTTTGGCAGGAAAAATTCCACTCCCCTCCCCACTAGCAGTATATATGGAGTGGAGTGTCTGCCATTTTCCAGTCTTTGCGACTGCAGTTCGTTGTGCCTCGTGCCGCTTCGCTCTCGCTTAGATCGTTACTTACCTCCTCTCGCTTGTTGAATTTTCTCCTTTTCTCTTACCAAGTTAGTATTCCCTTGTTTGTATTACTCGTTAGTATTTCACTTAGTTTCTTCGTTTTTTCTCTTTCTCTCTTTTTTCTAAAAAAAACAAAAACAAAAATATTACCTACTCCCCTATACCATCTTCTTCTTTTCTACTTCTGCGATGGCGCAATGGGCGGCATTCCGCAAGTGCGGCTCTAAAATGCCTGCTGCGGACCTGCATGACCTGTGCCTCCTTTGCCTGGGGGAAGGGCACAGGACAGATAAATGCGGCCACTGTTTGGCCTTCTCCAAACAGGTGAGGAAGAATCGGGAGAACTGCCTCCGCAAACTCCTGTGGGAGCAGGCTCTCCTCCAATCGGACCGGCTGGTAGCTAAGCCTCCCACAACTTTGACTCCACTCGAAGGCCGTCCGACTTCAGCCGATCCACCGCAACGCCCAGCCTCTTCCTCCATTGTTCCGCCCTCGCGCCCTTCCGACGAAGGTGCTCCTAGCATGGGCAATCAGCCTATTTCCCTACCAAGGAAACAAAAGGAAAAGAGGAAGCACAGTGACCCGGAAAAGTTGCCTGTGCGCAAGAAGGCCAGAAAGGATAAAACCGGAAAGCTGATTAAAAAACCAAGGAACCCCAAGCATTCTAAGCATCGGCACTCAGGTTTGGCAGCCTCTTTGATCCCAATTCCGGTCGCGGTAACACCCCCCTCGGTCCCAGCCATCCAGGTGGCTACAAGGGTCACTCCGCCAGGCTCCCCGCGCTGGACAGGATCCGAACTCCGACAGGATCCACAGTGCAGCTCGGTTTTGGATGGCGAAATAAGAGATTCGCCACCGAGGGCTCGGTCTCCAGCACCTATGCCGCCTGTTCCGCTGGATACCGACACAGGCATGTCTCCTTCAAGAAGCCGCAGGAGTCGTTCTTCGGATGCTAGATCCAATGATTGGTACCAGTCCCGGTACTCCTCCGTTCCGAGACGGGAAGAATACCAATCTGTCGGCTACTACCCGGTACCCAGAGGCCGATCTTCTCCGCCAGCTCCTCGGGATTGTTTTCACTCCACACCGAGAGATTCCCTGAGGGCACCATCTAGAGAGAGCGGCAGATTGGAGTCGCCAGGAGATTCCTCCTCCAGTGTCCCACCTCCCTATTGGATGGACTCGGATGAGTCCGAGGTCGACTAGACTTCACCAGATGTCGCGGTTACTTCGCAAGGCCCAGGATCGCCTGAAGAGCCGCACATCTCTTTCGCCGAACTGATGTCCAAGCTGGTAAAGCCACTTGAGATTGAAGCCCATCAACAACTGGGACCCAGTACTGACCACTTTTACGATGTGGTCGGGCGAGCAATCCACCTCCATCGCCCTGCCATTTATAGCAACCCTACGACAGGCGATGACCCAACCGTGGGATCTCCTGGCTCAACCACAATCAACTTTATGAAGATATGAAGCCATGTACTGGGTTCGGGAGGGCGACATTCCGTTCCTCCTCCGCCACCCCAAGCCGAACTTGGTCGTTGTGGAGTCTTCTCAGGGCCGGAAGGCATGGGGGCACACTGCGCCTCATGATAAGGAGGGAAGAAAAGTCGGCTCCCTCACACACCGGGTCTATGCGGCCTCTGGGCTTGGCTTACAAATCTCAAATTACAAGGCGACTTTGGCGCGCTATCAATACTTTCTCATGCAGTGCCTAGACAACATCATTGCCACCTTCCCAGACAATCAAGGCAAGTTGGCGAGGGTTTTTGTAAAAGAGGCTATGCAAGTGGTGGTGCAGCAGCTCTCTACAGCCAGGCTCCATGTGGATACGGACTTGAGGTCTCTCGTTGGTGCCATTTCTCTCCACAGGCACACCTGGTTGTATAATTGCAACTTTCCAGAAGAAATGGAGAATTGAGGAGATGCCCTTTGACAGGACCAGTCTCTTCGATGCGAAGACCGACAGCAAATTAAAGAAAATCCACGAATCGAGGATGACGGCCCGTCATATGGAACTACAGTCCCAGCCTCGATGTAAGTGGTCATGGACCCGTCCACAATACCGCCAACAATACCAGCCTCGACAGCAACCACATCAATGCCAACAATGTCGTAGGCAGAAACTGTCCCAGAGCTTTCCAGCAAAGCCATCGTCGCTTTGACGGGGATAAACGCCAGCGCTGATGGGGCGAGCGAACCCTTCCCCTCCTCCCAAACTCACCCTTCCCCCTCTCATTCGGGGACCAGCTGAAAAGTCGGCTTCCCGGTTGGGAGTCCATTACAACTGATCGTTGGGTGTTATCCATTATTCAGCATGGATATCGAATAGAATTCGACATCATTCCTCCATCGAGTCCCATCTGGTTTACTCCCAGCTCACCAGTGTTGCTCGATGAGGTTCGCCATCTCCTTTCCAAGGGAGCCATTCATTGCTTATCTCTAACAGAAGGACTCCACGGATTCTATTCCAGATATTTTACGGTCCCAAAATGGGATGGGGGTCTCCGACCAATATTGGACCTAAGAGATATTAACAAATTCATAACTCCAGAGAAATTTTGGATTGCCACTCTTCAAAATATCTTACCGCTGCTGAGGAGGGAGGATTGGTTTGCCTCACTGGACTTGAGGGACGCCTATTTTCATATTTCAATCCATCCGTGTCATAGGCGTTTCCTTCGTTTTGCTGTTGCTTCTGAAATCTACGAATTCACTGTGCTCCCGTTTGGACTGGCCACTGCCCCAGGGTTTTTACAAAGTGTATGGCCCCTGTCTGCGCGCACCTACGACTTCACGGGGTCCAGATATATCCCTACCTTGATGACTGGTTGTTGGTTTCTCAAACCAGAGAAGCACTGTATTCTGCTATAAACCTTACATGCTCCCTGCTACGGGATCTTGGACTTCGTATTAACGCATGAAATCCTCTCTTGTTCCTGCACAGGTGATCCATTTCATCGGAGCTCGTCTGGATTCTACGGTAACAAAGGCATTTCTCCCTGGGACAGACAACACACCCTCGCTCAACACATCCATCGAATTCGAAGAGACAAAATTGTTCCTGCACGCTCTGTCCAAAGGCTGCTAGGGCATATGGCCTCATCCGTTGTAGTCGTCCCATATGCCAGGCTTTGGCTTCGGCCCCTCCAACTTTTCTTCAACAAGGTTTTTCGGCCGCAAAGGGATTTGCCCACAAGGCTGATTTGACTTCCATCCTCAGTTCTTCAGTCTCTCATATGGTGGACAGTGCCAGACAACCTGAATATTGGGGTCCCCTTCCAACCGCGACACCTGATGGCAACTCTTGGTACCGACGCATCTCTGCTCGGCTGGGGAGCACTATGCTCAGGCCTACGCACTCAGGGTGTCTGGAATCGACAAGAGTCCAGGAATCATATCAACTTCCTGGAACTTCTAGCAGTTTACAAGGCTCTTCAGTCCTTCAAGGACGTTCTTCGCCATCGATTCATTTAGATAACTTCGGACAACATCGCTACAGTCTTTTATCTGAACAAGCAAGGAGGAACGAAGTCGCCAACATTAGCACGGCTAGCGATACAAATCTGGGAGCGGTGCATCCAGAGAGACATCTCCCCAATCGCGGTGCACCTCACCGGTATGGACAATGTGGAAGCTGATTTCCTAAGCAGACACATGTCCACATCCCCCGAATAGGAACTGGATCGCCGGACATGCGACCACCTTTTCCAGTGCTGGGGTCTTCCAGACATAGATCTATTTGCTACCCGGAGGAACCGGGTTTGCGAGGTTTTTTGTTTGAGAGTGGGAATCGGACAGGGGTCATCTGGAGATGCCTTTATGATCCCATGGAACAACGTTCACTTTTACACTTTTCCCCTGATCCCCCTCATTATGAGAGTGATTTCGAAGATAATCCATGATGCGGCCACAGGAATATTGATAACCCCATGGTGGCCATGCCAAGCATGGTTTTCAACACTCCTTCACATCTCTCGAGAAGAATACCTTCAGCTTCTATCCATTCCATCTCTGATTACCAAGAGAGAAGGCACAATTCGCCACCCATATCTGACATCACTGAGGTTGATGGCCTGGCGAATTTGATAGTGGTCCGTTTTGACACGGTATCGACGTGTCTATGAATCCTGTCCCCGAATCCGACGTACTACGCCATGATTCGCACCCGCCTGCCTTCCCCATGTCTTTGGTTCCGATGGCCATTTCCTTGGCTCCGACAGTTCTTCACCCGGACATCCAACACATTCTCGATTCTGTGCTGAGGCCGTCCACCCGGAAGTCATATGCGGCTAAGTGGCGTAGATTCTCTATCTTTGCTGAATCATGATAGTTTCTCCTGCAGTCAGCATCCATAGATCATATTCTCCAGTTCCTATTCGAACTCCACTAGGCTGGACGTAAGCCATCCTCCATAAAAGTGTCCACGGCTGCTATTTCCTATTACCGGGGTGCTATCCAGGGCTCCTCCATTTTCTCTCAACCACTAATAAAGAGATTCCTTAAGGGGCTACATAGCCTTCATCCGGCAGTCAGATCGCTTATGCCCACTTGGAGTCTTTCAGTGGTGTTACAAGCGCTAACAAGACCTCCTTTCGAACCTTTGGCAACAATTGATCTCTGTTGGAAAATTGCATTTCTTGTAGCAGTTACATCAGCACGGAGAGCTAGTGTGCTCTGTGCCCTTAGGGTGGACACTCTGTATCTGAACTTCCATAAGGAGAAGGTAGTTCTACGAATGGATCAAGCCTTTCTTCCCAAAGTGGCTACCTCCTTCCACATGGACCAGAAAATTGTTCTACCTGCCTTCTTTCCATCTCCGTCGAATCCGATTAAGAGGGCATTACACACCCTTGATGTACGGCGCTGCCTTGCCTTGTATAAATCAAGAACTGAGTCTATTTGGCACTCCAACAAACTCTTTGTGAAATATTCTGAATACAATCAGGGTTCTCCAGTCACCCTTCAGAGACTTTCTAAGTGGATAGTACAAACTATTATTCTTTCTTATCAGTTAGCTAAGTTGGACTTACCTATGATCCCAAAGGGTCATTCTACTAGAGCTGTGGCTGCTTCTTCCGCCTTCGCATCTGGAGTTCCGATTGACGCTGTCTGCATAGCTGCTACATGGGCCACCCCATGCACATTCGCACAGCATTATCGACTGGATGTCTGTGCCAGGCAGGACTGTTCCTTCGGCAGAGCCATTCTTTCATCTATTCTTCGTTGATGACACCGCCCTCCTCCATTCAGGGTAAGCTTGTTAATCTACCCACATGTGTGATGCACAGAGGCCACGACGAAGAAAAGCAGGTTGCTTACCTGTAACTGTTCTTCTGGTGGCCATCTGTGCAGTCACACAACCCACCCGCCGGCCCTGCTCGGTGTCATTGGGTGGTGTTTTTTTTTTTTTTTTTGGTACCATGTTATTCTTGTCCTTGGTACCTATACAGTATTTTCCAAACTTGTTGGTGGTACCAACATCATTCTTTTTCATTAGTTCCATTTTTTCTCTAGAGAGCGAACGTCCGGTCTATCAAAGACTGGAAAATGGCGGACACTCGCTCCATATATACTGCTAGGGGGGAGGGGAGCAGAGTTTTTCCCACCAAAACCGTTAGCTATCAATCTTCCGGCCACAGGCACTGCGCAGGCGCAGTACCCACATGTGTGACTGCACAGATGGCCACTCGAAGAACGTCGGTTACAGGTAAGCAACCTGCTTTTTTCTGCATGCCTGCTGTACCATGCGTGCCAAAGGTTCACCACTACTGCTCAAACCCTACCCTGGTGCACACCCCTAACCCTAATATAGCGGTAAAGTTCCATTGAAAATTGGGCAATTTTGAAAAAGCCTTCCTTGAGGAGCTTTTCCTGCACAGCTCATCATTTCTGCGCATACTAAACACATTCCCACCATCAAAATTCTATCAGGACACTTCATTTTTCCAACCCCTAACTCAGTGATGGTGAACCTTTTAGAGACCCGAGTGCCCAGACTTCAGCCCAGAACCCACTTATTTATTGCAAAGTGCCGACGCTGCAATAAAACCTGAAAACTGAGGTTTTAGTTTAGAAAAAACACCTCACAGCCAGTCCAAGCAAATATATATATACTTAACCTTGGCAGTGGACTGACCAGCCATGCAAAACCTCTGACAAGTCACGGCTACTGAGTCCCGGCTTGTGACATCATTGCCTGGCACCGCTACTCCTTTTCAAGCATCCGCGTGGCCCCTATGCGCACTGTTACCCAGTGCTCAGCTGCTGGGGCAATGCTGGGGCAACTTGGCTCGCGTGCCAACAGAGAGGGCTCTGTGTGCCCGCTGTGGCATGCATGCCATAGGTTCGCCACCACTGCTCTAGGCCATTGTTTCTGGAATTCTCCATGTTTCTCCAGTGTCCTACCAAAGACCAGGAAGATGTGTGCCTTATTTCCATTCCTTCTTGACATGGTATCCAATCTACCACCTTGCAATAATTTAATAATAACAACAACAGCAACAACAACATGCCAGCCTTAACTACTTGTAACAAACTATTTTGTACAGCAGTTATTAAAAATACATGCTGAATTATCATTTTTCTTCCTAGTAGTTATGGTACTTGAACTTGCATAGATCATGATTTGGTTGCTTTTTTCTTTTTCAACTCAACCATTCTGTCACTCATTTTTAATGTTTAATTATGTAATCTTTTTTAGAATTAGAAAATGAAGAATTTATTGAGGCCCAGGATACAGGTAAATTGATAAATTAAAATTATTCACCTTATGCTAATTGTTTACCTACCTCTTCCTTTGCCTTCTTAGTACTCACAGCAAGCCATAAGTAAATCAGGCCCCCCATTTATTGATGAGGCAAGAGAATGCATTTAATGTATTCTGCAGTCTCCAAACTAAGTAGTATTACTGTGCATCTAGAACCTGAAAGAACTGCAGGTGCAAGAAAGACTGGTCACATTCCGCCAACATACTCTGATCAATAATAGATATTAATTTCTCTAATGCAACTCATCCAACTAATGTTCTTTAAGATCTAGCTACACATTACATACCAGTATGTGTAACAGAACCATAAGAAGCATCCATGAGGTTTTTTGTTCTAAATTATCTGCTTCTCAAGCCACTTCTCCTAACCCCATTACTTCCAGTCACATTTTCATGAAAAATTTGACCCTCAACACATTTAGTCTCTTTCCTGTAATGTAGAAAACTTGGGACCAGACTTACTTTTCCCCCTTCATCTATGAAGCTTGCCCCCTTTGTTTTCTTATGAATTATATTACACTGTTGTTCTGTTTTCAGATGGTGAGCCTTTACAGGAACATGAATACGAAAACATTCCAGGTAAAAACATAATATTTAAAAGAAGTTATGTATATTGCTAGACTGAATGTTTTATAGTAGCAGCAGTGTTGGCCTTTCAGGCCCACAGATTTTGCACACAAAGTAGTCTCATAAAAATTGGCATAAAACTTTATCTGTACATAATCAGTGTGATATGTATCTGTATTTTGCAGTAATTTATATACATTATACATATCTTAGACAACCACAGCCAAGCATGGCTTCCTTTATGGGTACACAAAGTAAAATAAGTGTTTACGATTATAGTGCATGTCTACAAATACATCTTTACAACTCTTTGATGATCAATTTCATAATATTGCTTTGTGATTCTTAAATAGTGTCACTGACACATTGCCATATTTGCACTAGGATTGGGATGAACCCTGTTGGAATCCATCCCTCTACCATCCACAGACTTGCGCTCATGCTTGGCCCAGTCCTAGGGACCGACCTGCTGCATCCAGTGCAGCCCACAGCAGCAGCAGGCACAGAAGAGGGTTGCTGCTTTTATAGTGCATGGGGCTTCATTCCTGGTGAGCACCCCACAAATACTGGGAACTTGTGCCAGGAACTTGTGCTCAGGCCCTCTACAAGCAGATTAGAATTTGGGGACCTAGCCTAGGGAATCCAACAGCTTCCCACCCACCAACAGATTTGTTCTCACATCCTTCATTTGAACTGACTTTTGATTGTATTAAATAGATAGAAGCCCTATAATTTTTCATATAACCTATCTTTACAAAAGATCTTTTGATTTCATTAGCATTGCTTTTCCAAAGTCTAAGAAATTTATTTCTTGTGTACCTAACAGAACCAGCTGAGAGCACTGAATCACAACTTGAAAGTGAGTATACCAGAAATCTTAGTAGAAGAAAAGATATGTAGAAAATGAAGCATATTCATATTTTATGCCCTCTTTAAAGACAATTGGGATAACTATTTTAGCACCTATTCACATTAGCAGGGAAATATTTGCAGAATAGTTGCAATGTAAGTTTCTTGGCTAAATGCAGTGGCTGAGACATCTAAATGATATGAGACAGGACTAGGCAAATGTATTTTGGTTCCTAGATACAAATCCAAATGATTACTGATCTTCCCTAAAACCAGTAGCACAGTGAACTCCACTGATGCCTGTGAAAAATGCAGTATTCCACTGTCATAGTACATGACATTAAAATTGTGTTAATGTATGCTATGTGGAAGTTGATATGTATGAACTTAATCTTCCCATCCCTTTCCTATTGTACAACATAGGCATCTGTGGTTGAAATCGTATTTGTGGCAGAGGCCCAGTTTAGACTCCAAGCTTGAAGATATGTAAAAGTTCAGCAGGAGGGTATGATTTGAAGTGGAGAAATGTCCAGTAGTGTGGATGGAGCAAGGGGAAGAAAGACACTTAGAAGCTGTGAATATAGTTTTGGTATCCTGTGCCCAAACTTTACTTTCACTGTACTTCACTGTACTTTTTACCCCTTTTAACTTTTCAGTAGGAGTTCAATGCTATGCTTCATAGACTTGTCACACACGCAAGCTTAGAATTTGACTGCATGTTTTCCTTAAGGTTCATAAAATCATTGTAGAATTCTGAGAATTTGAGTTTTTACTTGCTTTTATTTTTAATCTAGTTTTTTTAGTTTGCGAAATAAGCCTGAATTATTGATAGTGATAAAAGATACATACAGTGGTAATATAACATACATTTTTCCAACTTGTTCATCATAGATGAGAGAGAATATACAGAGGATCCTGTTACTGCTCAGCCTCATGAGACAGGTGTGTAAAATATTTTCTCATGTTAAACTAGTACATTTTATGTAATGGTGTTCATACCTGGGTGTGACCAAAATTGTTCACCAAGGTATATAAAATGATTCTTCTGGTTATGTGATCATATATATCAATACAGAATGAGCAGAATTGTTTTGTAATCAGGTTCCTTAGATATTGGAATGCACACAGTGGTTCATTAGCTCTTCATGTTCCAGATGTCCTTAACGGCTACATATTACCGCAGCCTAATCCAGCAGATTGGTCAGGAATCCTTTGTAGAGCATGGAAGTCAGAAAGACAATGATCTTTTTCAGTGATAATCATGATAACTAAATAAAATGCATAGTCAGAAATGTAGATACAGGTTTCCATTTCTATATTCATGCAATATAATCATTTGTCAATAGTGTGATGTGCAGCATTAAAGGGAAAAGAGAGGGAAATGATTGCATAAATCTTAGTTCAAGGCTTGATTTTTTTGGTATAATGAAGGTACTTTTAACTGATACGCTTCCTATGCAGAAAACAGATATGTGAGGGAAGCAGAATTCAGTAAATAGTGACACCTAACAATTGTGCACACATGTACTGTCAGATGTGGTGGTCTTCCTATGGATTGTTTATGGATTCCGATACATACTCATGTAGGAATTTTGTCATGTTTTAAGCAACCCCTATTTGGTTAGACTACCAGTGCCACCACTAATGCCTTCATTATTTTATATCAGAGAAAAGAAACAAAACATTATTAAAATGTCTTTTAAAGCTTTCTTGTACTAAATGGCTGATAATCTTTGAATTACAGAAGTTCCTGTTCAAGCAGTTGATTATTCAAATGATGATTTAGTTGGTAAGTCAATCTTCAGAGCCCCTGAATTTCATTCTAATTAACATTTCAGATTGTTTGTTCAGATCACGTTAAATTTAGTGTAAAGCTAGAAAAGAAAGTTTGAACTTACTGCAAAATCTTCTGGAGTAACACCTATTTGAGGTATACAAAATCATGATCTGCGGGCAACTTTCTTTGTATACAACTTTAAAACATGGTAATCTGATGCTAGAAGCAAGCAGAATTTCACATTCTTTTTTCTTTGGCTTTGACTTCCAAGTCTCAGGACAATTAATAGATGTAGCTTTCATCTGAGGTTGGTATTTTATACACTGTTAGACCATTTTCCCCTCTAAGCCTATCTCTGTAGTGTCCCACTTGCCACCCATGTGCTAGCTCTGGTTTTATGTGAGAGCTCAATTTGCCACTAATAGAATATCCCTAGTAGCAACAATTATGATTAACTTCTGCAGACAGTCTTGCCACAAAAATAGGTTTGGTACACTGATAGTTTACTATGAGCATATTAGTACTAAGGTCTGGATGAAGGAGCCTGACACAGACTCTGATTTTTGAATTGCACAAGAATTGTCAAGGAAAATCATACTCAAGTTACTGCATGAACTAGAATCTGACAGTAATTGCTAAAACAAATTTAACTCTTATTGCAGTAAACTTAGTGTGGGTCAAGTCAAGCTAGTTTTTAGTAAGTACTGAATTGCTTCAACAGAAACATTTAAAAATCTTGTTGTAAAATGCATGTCTTGTGCAGTTTAAAAGGAGAAGAAATGTGGAGTGACCACTAAAGCATGGTGGAAGTAAAGGAGAAATGAACTCCTGCTTTGACCAAGGCTAAATACATTAGGAAGAACCTGGCAGAGAAATAGTTTATTCAGCCCAATTCATTTAAACATCTTTTGGAGGCACCATTAAACAAAATTATTGTCTAATTTTGTCCTTTGTGCAAGTCGTAGTCCATGGTATAACTTGAAAAAGGTGCTGCTCTTATTCTGTCCATGGTAGAAAACAGACCTTACAGAAAGCACTCTGTAGTGTCTACCATTTTGTCTTTCAAATACTCCCAAATATGAACATTGTTACAACTTCTTAGCCTAAAGAACTAGTCCCTGTGAGAGGAACATGACAGTTCCTCTCTTCATTTTTGCATTTAGTTAGTACATAAGGATTCTTTTTAAATTAGTGGGTCATCCATTCAAACCAATGGACAGTAGACTAAAGACAGATGAAGTATTCATACTAATAACCTGGACACTAAGCTCAACCTCTGAGGCTTTTCCCTAAGTGCCAACTTCTCAAGAGGCTTGGAGTGTGGCAAGCAGGGGGAAAGCCTTTTCTGTACTAGCTCCCCATCTTTGGAATAACTTTCCTGCTGTGTCCCACCTGGTGCCAAATATGCCACCTTTTTGGTGCCAGGTTATGATGGCCCTCTTTGCACAGGACTTTGAAGAACTCCCTGGTCATCCAGGGGCCTGATGGGTTTCTCTAGGTAATGTTTTCCTTTCTTTTTGGCTAGGTCTTCTAGTTTTACCATTGTTGCATTTTAATGTAATTACTTCCATTTTAAATTAATTTTTAAACTTTAAAATGTTGTTTTATGTACAGTTTTATTGTTTTTATATCTTGTGAGCCACCAAGAGAGCTTCAGCTATAGACAGTACACAAATAAAATGAATAAAATAATAATAAATCACTAATAGAATGTGCTGTCACAAGATGTTCCCTTGAAAATTAGCTTAAATGCCTTTTAAAGTAGGTAAGATTGTGATGGATAGATTTGTCGTGAATAGCAACAGTGTACCTCTGAATTTTGTTTCTCGGGGCAATCAGTGGAGAAGGAGATGATGGTTGCCTCTAGACTGTTTCCTATGCTGTGGTTCCTGGAAGTATCCAGTTGGCCACTTTATTTATTCATTTATTATTTATTAAAACATTTCTGTGCCGCCCCTTGCCGAAGCCTCAGGGCGGCTCACAACACAAAATAAAATACAATAAAATACAAAAATAACAATATAAAATTAGCAATATAAAATAAATAACAATATAAAAGAAGTCGCCCTGGCCAGATAAATAAGCAAATATTGTTAACAATTAAAATGACGCTTAAATAAAAAGGTCTTCGCCTGGCGCCGAAAAACAAATAACGACGGCGCCAGGCGGACCTCTCTGGGGAGCGCATTCCATAGATTGAGGACTTTTGATAGAGGATGCGCAACTAGATGGATCTTATGGTCTGATTAGCAGGAATCTTTCTTCAGAGTAAGTTATATGAAACAAATAGTCCTATGCCGTATTTACATGCAGAGTTGAAGGTCGAGAAGGGCAGAACCGCTGGACTCTATTTCAGGTTCCTTTCAGCTGCAGCACTTTTCTTTGCAAAACCTGAAAAGCACTGGAATAACAGGCATGGTTCTTCTGAGGATTCTGCCTCCTGTAGTTCCTCTTTAAATTATTATTATTATTATTATTATTATTATTATTATTATTATTATTATTATTACAACATTTCTATGCCGCCCCTTGCCGAAACCTCGGGGCGGCTTACAACATGATAAAATACATTGAAATACAATAGTACATAATAAATTACCATTAAATATAACAATACAAAAAATACATTGATTTACAAATACAAAATTAAAATTATCAGTATAAAATAAAAATATAGGAGGAGAAAGAGAAGGAAGAAGAAGTTGCCCAGGCCAGATCATATGTTTTAACAATTGAAATGATGTTTAAATAAAAAGGTCTTTACCTGGCGCCGAAAAACCAGTAACGACGGTGCCAGGCGGACCTCTTTGGGGAGTGAATTCCATAGGTTGGGCGCCACCGCAGAGAAAGCCCTCCTCCGGGTACTTACTCTCCTAATTTCTTTCATGGAGGGTTCCCGGAGAAGGGACTCTCCCGCAGATCTCAAAGGGCAGTCGGGCATATACGGACGTAAGCGCTCATTCAGGTAGCCAGGACCCAAGCCGTTTAGGGCTTTGTAGGTCATAATCAACACCTTGAATTGGGCCCGGGCTTCAATGGGAAGCCAGTGAAGCTGATGGAGGACTGGAGTCATGTGAGCATAACGCCCCGTCCCCGTCAGCAACCTGGCAGCTCTATTTTGCACCAATTGAAGTGTTCGGACTGTCTTCAGGGGAAGCCCCACGTAAAGCACGTTACAGAAGTCTAGGCGGGAAGTCACCAGCGCGTGTGTCACCGTCGCCAGGCAGTCGTATTCCAGGTAGGGGCGCAGCTGATTAATCAGCCGAAGCTGAAGGAAGGCGTTCCTCGCTACCGCTGTCACCTGAGCTTCCAAAGAAAGCTCCGGGTCGAGGAGTACACCTAAGCTGCGGACCTTATCCCTAAGAGGGAGTGTTGCACCATTCAGGACCAGGTCAAATCCACCCTCTCCGAAACCCGATCCGCCAACCAACAGGACCTCCGTCTTATCTGGGTTTCAGTTTATTGGCCCTCATCCATTCCCTTACCTCGGCCAAGCACCGGTTCAGCACAGCCACTGCCTCACCTGGATTAGTGGAGAATGAGAGGTAAAGCTGGGTATCATCAGCGTATTGATGATTCCGCAGCCCACACCTCCTGATGACCTCTCCCAGCGGTTTCATATAGATGTTAAATAGCAGAGGGGATAGAATGGAGCCCTGTGGTACCCCATGGCATAGCTGCCATGACGTAGAGACATGGTCCCCCAGCACTACCTTCTGGAATCGACCGTCGAGATAGGAGCGGAACCACTGCAAAGCAGTGCCTCCAACCCCCAATCCCGCAAGTCTATCCAGAAGGATACCATGGTCGATGGTATCGAAAGCCGCCGAGAGGTCCCGAAGAACCAACAGGGATGTACTCCCCCTGTCCTTCTCCCTGCACAGGTCGTCGTACAGGGCGACCAAGGCAGATTCAGTACTGTACCCGGGTCTGAAGCCGGACTGAAAAGGATCCAGATAATCAGTTTCCTCCAAGAGTGCTTGGAGTTGTCCCGCCACCACTCACTCCAGCACCTTGCCCAGAAATGGGATGTTGGCCACAGGTCTATAGTTAGTGGCCATCTCTGGATCCAGTGACGCTTTCTTCAGGACCGGTCGTATTACCGCCTCCTTTAAAGGGGCAGGCACTCGACCCTCCCTCAGAAAAGCGTTAACCACTTCCAAAATCCAGGTCCCAATCCCGTGCTTGGAGTTATTTATTAACCAAGACGGGCAAGGATCCAATAGGCAAGTGGTGGGACGTACTCTTCCAAGCACCTTGTCCACATCATTGGGCCGCAATAATTGAAATTCCTCCAGTAATTTTGGACCAGACGGTGGCATTGGCGACTCCTCAGAGACCTCTAATTCATTAGTGGAGTCCAGCTCGTGACGAATCTGAGCGATTTTCTCCCTGAAATGCCTGGCAAAGTCGTCACAGCGGGCCTTTGAGGGTGGCATCGGATCTTCCTTAGGACCCGGGCGAACCAGGCCTTGCACCACTCGAAAAAGCTCCGCTGGACGGGATTGTGAGGAGGCAATGGAAGCAGAAAAAAACTTCTTTTTCGCCGCCTTCACCGCCACAGCATAGGCCCGATAGTGGGCTCTCAAGTGTGTTCGGTCAGATTCATCCCGTGATTTCCTCCACCTACGCTCTAGCCGTCTCCCAACTCGCTTCATCGCCCGTAATTCAGGTGTATACCAAGGGGAAGAGCGGACTCTGCCCGGTGGGAGAGTAGACCTTTCCTACTTTGAAGATAAATATTCAAAAATGTAAAGAGAGCTGATTTTCAGTAGCAAGCAATATGGTATTGCTGTGACAGCTGTGCTATAACAGGTTCTGCCTTTCCATTCTTTTTCATATGAACATCAGTACAGGTCTCTGAAATTTCCTTTGGAGCAGCATATTATTATCAGCAGCCTTAACAACTCATTGTGGAATCTCTTTGGAGATGTGTCAAATTAACTGAAGGCCTGAGGAAATACTGTCAGGGACCAAATGTTCAGAACAGTCAGGTGGTAGAGGTACAAACAGTACCCAGGGTCCTGGAGCCTGCTATTTGTCTCCAGTGCATTACAGCCCTTCAACTATAGTCTTAGCATGTAAATGTTCTAGAATAATGCCAAAGAGCCTGGTCTTCACTCAGCTGCTGTATCTTGGCTTTATTATGCATCTTTGGCTGCATCCACTTCTCCATATTTCAAGACATCCTCAATTCTGTTACACTTTGTAAAGAAAAGGAACTTGCATATTTTATTTCAACCAGAGTTTAATCCTTTGAGGACTCAAATGCTATAGAAGTGCAGAAAACAGGGGTGGCTGCAGAAAAGTCTAGCCACATTTTTTCTCTTTGCTGTCATAGAGTCAGCCTTATCAACCAATGAAAAGCAGAAGCTCCCAAGAATGGTGTATGTTCAACTACTGGGACTCACGTTCCTTCAGAAATACTAGATGGGATTCAGCCTGTGTACCACTACCAAGCTCTGGCCAAAGAAAAAAAAAATAGGATAATCAATCAGGCCAACAAAGAAGGAGTAGGACACAGCAAGTCTTAAGCTGAAACCAAACATCAGAGCAACAAGGATACTACTGTATTTTTCTCTTATAACAGAACCACCATACTTTGTTTCTGCTTTACGTTCACTGCATCTGCTATGCCTTGTTTCCAGAAATTTGGAATTAGTAGGAGCTGGGCCTAAGACCATATTGTAAACAGTGGACACCTATAGGTTTCAGCTTGAACAACTTAAATATCTAAGTACATTTTCACTCAAATGGGGTAGAGACAGAAAATCACAAGTCTAATCTTCTAAAGAAAGAGAATGATCTGGATGAGCTTCAAAAGTACAAATACGATCTTTTGAACACATCTGCAGTATTTATCAACACATACTGTGGGAGAAACTGTGGGATTTCATGTTTCTTGCACAAATGTAGCAGAGGTAGAAATAGTGTATTTGGCATTAGATTTGCATTAAGACATGTTTACAGATTTTCAATAATAGCCTTGGTGTTGGACACTGCAAGTTAAGACTAAGGGGGGGTGGGTCAAAATAGCAAATTTCCAAATGCTTTCCTGTAAGATAAAAATGTGTTCAAAGTTTTGGGCATCCGTTTTAGAACTGTATATTTAGTATTTCTCAGTTTAGCTATATTTGATTCTGTTGGTTAAAAAATTTAATATTTTTAAAACTGTTCCTATGGTTGCCTAGATACAGTTGAAAGCATACCAGTTCTTGTCAGCAGGGCTTATGTTAAAGTAAAAAGAAACAGTGTGGAGGAAGAAAGGTCAGCAGTTGACAAATTAACAGTACACAGTTGGAAAAATGAGTAGTGAACAGTAAACATGCTATAAATAATCAATGCCAATAAAGAATAGTCAGAGAAAATCTGGTAATAATGGTGTTGCAGATATAGTGAGTTTAAAATGAATCAGAAAAGGCTTGACATGAAGTATTTGGTATTGATATGGAACATGAAAAAGAGGAAAGGAAACATTCTAGCGAAGTTTGAGGCATTGTATGATCTAGGGAAAAAGAAGTAGAAGAAGCAAAGGGGGGGACCAAATAGAAAATAAACTTATATTGAACAGAAACAATAACAATTTTGATTTTAACAAATTTGAGAATATATGATGTTAAGAAAACAGTTTTTCTTCAACAGTAAATAGCAATAGGATTTTGTAACCAGATGGTTGAAGAAGACATAAAGGTATAAAACTAAGATGGCTAGACTATAAAATGGTGTAGATAAAAGGAATTTACTGAAAGAAGAAAGAGTAATCCAGATATATTTCTTTGGAATGTGAGTATGGTCTTCTTTTGCAGTGTGTGGTTTGACCTAACTGTTCAGTTAAAAAAGCAGTTCAGTTTGCCATTTAATTGGGCAAGTAGCAGCTGTGCCTACATGATAGCAGAATGACAAAATACACCACAGTCTTCAGCTTGTCATAATGCCTGCTCCTCTTGCTGCTCTGATATTCACTGCTTTTTCCCCATCCTTACAAGTTTTGTTGATCATTCTGCACAAGAGAACTTTTAAAGTGCACAGCTTGGTAGGTTTGTCGCTTTTCACTGTGCAACTGTGTTATAGAAAATGTTTGAGCAAGGTGCAGTCTCATACTGCAGGAGAACATGTAATGGCATAGGCTGAGCTGGTCATATGGACTATAAATGTAGCATGCCTACTGGGAAGAATACTCCTAATCAGGTGGAAAGAGCTGTACAATCAGTTTCTCTCTATCATCAAGTCAACCCTGTATATTCCCCTGCAGAGGGAATTCGCACTAAACTGAAGTAGTTCTCTTACTGTTAGCTGCAGTTGTGATAGGTGCCTCTGTTTTTTCTTTTACTGCAAGTTTTAAGGGTACTGATCTTTCAAAAGCCAGTTCCAAACTTATTGGAATGGTTGTCTAAGCAGCTTTCAGCACTGGATTTCTTTATCTTTGTAGCACAGTGTAGACTGTGAACTGTTAGTGGAAGGCCCTTCCTTGCATCAGATATCCTTTTATTCTTTTCAGATTCTATGATTCATTGAATAGGTGGGTGCTGAAAAGTTTGGGTGGAAAGAATAGGAATTCTATCTTTGTTTGGAACCTTATGTTTTTGAGGTTTGACACTGCTTTATGGGCTTTATGGTAAACCCCAGACCTGCCTTTCTGTTTCAGTGCAGTTCTTCTGTGCCTGGATGTGATGGGTTGCCAGTCACCCTATATTCTGGCAGTGCCCTTTTGATCTGTTTTGACAAAACTTCTGTCTTCTGGTGGCCTCTGAAATAAAAGGAAGCACTGTTGGTGATGGACTAATATAGTTCATAAAAGTCCATAAAGAGGATAACATAGCATGTCTGAACTTGCGGTTAAAAATGGTAGCCAGGCCATTCTGGTTATGAGTATTTAAAGTCTATTCTGCTGGTCTAAGTAACCTTTCGCCCAGGGCCAGTACTGGGGAAAGTGTACTGTTGTGCTTACTTCCTGCCTGGGGGTTTTCCATAGGCATCTGGTTGGCCACTTTAGAAACTGGCTATTGGACTTGAGAAGCTTTTAGTCTGATCCGGTGAAACTCTTCTTAACTAGGGGTATCCATTAAGGACGAGCTGGTGTGAAATATCTCTAGGCAGCATAAAAAAGAAAACAGTTTCTCAACCAGTTGGTGCCACAGTTTGCACTACCTTTTTGTTACAGTTGTGAAATCTGACTTTATGGTCTTCAGTGGCTTCAGGCCAGTGGTTGACAAGGCAAATTTTCTTTTCACCTTTAATTGTCACATAGATTTGTAGTCCCCCTTCTCCCTTCTTTTTCTCACACCAATCCATAGAATATGACCATTTGTTCTCTTGCTCCTTTGGGTTTTCTTTTTGTATAAACCCGGAACAGCACCAGGACTTCATGTATGGTACTGTCCCTTCCCTCACATCTTGGTCAATCCACTGCATTTTTAAGTCTTCAGCTGTCCAAACAGGACACCTGCCTGTTAGATATCTGTTTTGGCTTCTTTATTTCTGCTGTTGCTGCAGTTGTCATAGCATTCTCAGTAGCACTTCATTTATATGAAGAGGTTCATTTGCTAGATGAACAGAGGACAATATGAACAGTGTTTTCTCAGCTTCACACTTAACCCCACTTGTTTGCCTTTATTTTTCTAATTATCTTACTATCTCTTGTTGGTATTAGTAGCAAGTTGGAAGTGCTTATGAACAACTTTTCCTGGCCACTTCATTTTCAGCATAACTTTTCTATCCCATACTGTCCCCAAATAGATACATAAAAGCCTGTTCTCAAAACGTTGTCACACTGTGAGCAAAAAATAGAACCCAGGATGGACATTGTTTAGATGAAGAGGTAGAGCTATGCAAAGAGACCAGGTTTTATTTTAAATGGATGTGACATCAGAGACAGCAGGGTTAAACCTCATCTCAGAATGTAGCTCCTTGTTCTCTCCTTTATTTTATCACATGGAAGTGAATGGTTGCCATTTACCCTACTTGAATAGAAAGTAAATTAGAGAATGTTATGATGTAAGCAAAACATTCCCTTCTTTTGTTAACACTGAGTTGCCCAGCCTTCATTGGCAGGTTACTGCAGTGGGGATAGCAACTTTGTGTTTAATTAGTATAGTTTTAGTAAAATATAGATGCAACCAAATTCAGTATTCTGTTACAAAGTTGCATTAGTATTAAAGAGTATTTTAAAATAATTTGTATCATGGTTGGTCCTCTAATTTAGATTTCCCTTATTTTTTCAGATACATAAAGCTTCAAAAAGACTGTCCCTACAACAGGAGGACCAGCCTATACCATACTCTGCACAATGGGAACAGATGTTTGTTATAGACTTTTAATGACGTAATTAACCAAGCAGTTCAAAAATTTTGTGGGGTGTGAGGGGAGAAACACTAAAACGCAATTTACAAATGATGGTATCAGACCACTCCATCTGGAATGCGTTTCTTGTAAAAGTTATTAATAAGGTGTGGTAAGCAATAGAAGACCTTTAAATATGCAATGTAGATTTTTTATTCATTTTAATAATTAAAAATTCAAAAACTGTCACTTGTGAAATTGCCTAAAAACTGAACTTTTGTAGCACTCATTTAACATTTTAATAGATCTTTAGCATATAGTTAGAATCCTAATAACATTTTTTGTCTTTTGTGGCATTTAGTATACAACATACTTGTATTTGCCTCTTGTTAGTGATGGAGCAGTTCATTCTATCTGAAATTTAGTGGTGCTGTTCACATAATTGTTAATATGATATTTATAATTGAATTAAAATTTAATATATACATATGTGGAAACATGACAGTTTGGAAATGATCTAAGTTACTAAAGTTTTAAAATGTGAACAAAACGATGTTTTGCTTTTTTACATCTATTATGGCAAATACTAGTAAAATAGCTGTGAAATTTTGACTTGGACCTTTACATACTGGTTTTGTATGTGAATATTTCCAGTGAGCTTCAGCTCATTTAGAGCAAATAACTTAATCATGGATATAAGCCATTAGGTTATGAGTTTTTTTCCTGTCTTGTTCTGATTGCCTCTTCTCATGATGAACATTTTATGAACATTTTATGCTGGGAGACTTGATACTAAAGCAAACACTGAATAATTCCATAGCAATCCAGATGTGTTTAAATTGGCAAGAAGCCACATGTCTATTATCTGCATGAGTTTAATGATTTTTTTTCATTTTGCTCTTTTGCCTGATGACATCTCAGCTGCAGTTTTAGTAGACTGGCTATTGCAGTCATATCTGCATAAATTCTTTCTGAAATACCTAGGATTACTCCAGAGGCATTGGTTCCAGGGCTGCAGTTGTTTTCAGATGAATCAGAATTTGATTGGTCTTAGCACACATGCTTGACCAGAACAAATTATTATTATAAATATTAATCAGCATGTATTAATAAAATCATTTTTTACTGACTGAAGGTGAGCTTTCAAAAGGATGGCGTGTTAGTTAATTGTTGCATGGTGCTGTTCCATAATCTTAGAGTCATATTAGTTTAATTACTTATTTTTATTTCCCCATCCCCAGCTCAGTAATAATTTGCATGATCACATGCTTACTTAGAGAAGCAGAGCAGCACTTTCAGTTTAAACTGAAGGAAATACTTAAGTACTATAGAAGTCAATGGGGATTCATTGGCAATTTTTTAGAATGTGACTTTTAAACTGTAGCCAGTGCTTGAACTTATTTCATTTCATTTAATTTAGAAACATTCAATAGAAATGGAGCATGGGCTCTGCATATTTCTTATGCTGGAATCTATAGTGAGGTATCTACATAGTGTTGGACATTAATGTAGTTTATCTCTATGAGCATTTTCCCTTCCTGCATGGACACTGCACCTCTGTATAGAAGGATTTCCATAAGTCATAACAGAACCCTGTTTTCCCCCTTCCTCCATGGTGTGTATGCACAGGCATCACACAGGACCAATATGGGAAATATGAGACCTGGGCAGGAAGGATTATGCTATATGAATTTATACATATCAGGAAGCAAAGTGTTCTTGTTCACAAAGTGAAAACATGTATTTCTAAAAGAGACAGCAATACTTTTTTATAAAGCCATACTTTTAAGGAATGGGATTAAACTGAGATTGTTTTTGACAAATTTAATTTTTGTACAATAACAATATATTTATAAAATGCTGGAATACAGTTTATTATGCTGTGATCTCATTTTTAAAATTCTCATAATGATAGGATTTTCATGTTTACACAAGTGTGCCATGGGGTGGCAAGGGGAAGGGGACTTTTGAAAATGCATAGTTTCTTCTGTGTTGATATTTGCTGCAATAAAGTACAGAAGAATATTTTCACTGGTGGAGTCATTATTTTCCAAAATATCAACACCTTTTCTGCAATGCCTCTGTGTCTTAATTACCTCCTACTATTCGAATGTCTAGTTTTTTAGCATTTGGATGGTTAAAACTAGCTGACTGTGCAATGCACTTTTTAACATTGAAGCAAACGGATAGACGCCATCATCCACTTGAGTGTAGGTTCACATTATATGTAGTAAAGCCACATCCAGAGCTGAGGCAAAATTTTGACTGGTTTTACACACAACACTAACCCATTGTATGTGTTCTTGAATTCTTAGTTGTGATGTGTGAAAATGGCCCTGCTAACAAACCATGATTTATTAACCACGAATAACCCAGAAAGACAATCCATGGTTTGTTTGTTTAAACCATGAGTTACTGTTACGTATGAAACTAGAACCATGTGTTGTTTCACCAGGCTACAAAGCAGTAAACCCAGCCCAACTGTTCTACACAGCTGTACTATGGTACCAGAAAGGCATTTGGAATACATGGAGGGAGGGAGTAAAGGGAGAAGGAAACAGAATGACCCAGGAATTGAGAAAACATACCATACTTTCTGCCAGGCAAATTTAAGCTAGGGCACCAAACTGTGGATTGAAGAAACGACGAGTTAGTGCTATGTGTACTTGCCTTTGTTTTATGTATTATATCAAGAGTAGCTCACACTGGAAAAAGTGCTTTGGTGATAAGGCTTGGAAAAAGTGAAAGTGCTTAGTATGAGCAGGAAAAGGACAGGACTGGAGATAACTCATTGGCCATCATGAAGAGACCAACTGCCAGCACATGGCTGAGCTGTATTATAGTAAGAACAGGATTGAAACTTATATTCAATATAACAGAAGAACTTGCTTCACAATGACCACCACAGTGTCTCCTGGCACTTCAGGGACTGACAGATATATTATGGCATGATGAATGTGTTAGTTCTTAATATGTCACAAGACCTCTTGAGAACACTTCTGTAACAAATGAACAAGGCTATCTTTTCCTAAATATCCTTCACATGGTACACTGGATAATGGTTATGATGGCACAATCAACCCTAGGATGCCAACAAGTTAATATTCAGTTTGGAGAGTCAGATGTTAAAATGAAACTATCATGAATGTAAAAAGACTTCTTTCTAATAACCATTATAATCTCTTGAACTGATATTGTTGAAGAGGATGTAGGGCACTTTAAATGTGTGGATTAAAATTTTCTGTATCTTTAAAAAACTACAAATAGCAGGGTTTGCTTGCAGGGTGTGGGAGGCTGATCAGAATGGGAGGTGGAAATGTATATTCACACCTCAGTTGCTGAATCTCATGGAAAGTTTTGCCTCCAAAATTTCTACATGCATTAGAAGGAATAAAGCTGTTACTGAGACTGCTGATAAATCATGGCAGCTTCTTTGCATAGTTCCCACGTGGAAACTGGAAAGTTGTTCGTTGATTACACATGACTTTGGCCAGATCTTGAATACACATATTGCCTCACATATAGGAATCAAAAGTGTGTGTGGAGGGGTTGGGTAGCTGGTATATATAAACCAGATCAAACTCTGAGCTACAGTTGCAGCATTCTGTAAACAATGCACCCAAAAAAATATATCCTGCCATCTGAAATGTATACAAACTATGAGAGAGAACTAGTTTTAATCTATTACAGCTAGAAGATGACCAAAACAAATAAACCCCTTAAAACTAATGTGTTTATTATGGAATGACAATACAAACAAAAGTCTTCTTTATCAGATGCATCAATTGGACTGGGAAGGTGATTGGTATGAACTTCAGGTCATGTTAGGGCATGATCAAATCTCTGCATTTTAAATCTCTGCACATTATAGCTAAATTCTTTTATACTTTGGCATTGGATTATTTTAGTAAAAATTCTGTCAGGATGCACAAATGGAACTTGTGTGGATGTGCATGTGCACACGTGTGTAAATGTGCACACGTGTGCACATGATAATGTAGCAAAATTTTGCTTTATGTATTCCAGGACAAAATGAAAAAGAAACACAGCAGCAGGAAAAGGGTAAGTTATTGAAGAAGTGGGTTGTTCATAAACACAAACTGTTCTGTCAGTACAAAACTAGAGCTGGGGTAGAGAAAGCACACAACAGCTTCTATATAGCCTGGGGTGGTCAGACTTGCTCAACAGAAAAGCCACATACAGTAAATATCAGATTTTGAAAGCTGCAAGTGAGTGCCTGTTGGCGGTGGCAGCAAGCGGCGAATGGGCACCCACAGGCAGCAGCGGTGGGTGGTAAGCAGCGAGTAGACACCTGTGGTGGTGAGCAGCGAGCCCCAAAATAAACTCTAAGACCCACATGTGGCTCCTGAACCTCAGTTTGGCTACTCCTGGTACAGCCTGAAGTGACTGATCCTGTCTAATCGTAGAAACTAAGCAGGTTCAGGCCTGGTTGAAATCCGAATGGATGAATTAAAATGTTGTGAACTGCCCAGAAATCTTCAGTTACAGGCGCTGTAGAAATACTACTGCTACAATTGCCTTATAAGGGCAACATAGATTCAACATGGGATATCTGTACTACCTTCTAACTTTTATCTCCATCCTGCTCTGGGGGCTGTTTCCTGGATGGAACAGTGAGATGAAAACAGTGGGAGATGTTTCTTTAATAATAAACAATAAATACAATTTTCTCTCACTTAAAACAGCTGTGCAGTCCTAATTTGATGTAATTACACTGTTCTTGTCTCTTCTGGTGAAATGACTTAAGTCTGGACAATGATATAGAGGAAGAGGTTGATCCCTCTTCCCACCACCATGGCACTGCTCCATATCACCCAACTACAAGAAATGCTTTTAACCAAAGAAAAAGATGTCAGAAATCCCCCACATTGCATCTGGTTTGTCCATGGCCTGAGCACAGGAAGTGCCCTTAGCATCAAGTTTGTAATACTTGTCATTTGATACTAAAATCCTGGGGCCAAAATTCTACTGGTAATTCCAATTGACTCATATGTTTAATGTTGTTATTATTATTATTATTAGAACATTTCTATGCCGCCCCTTGTTTAAAAGTGGCTACAAATATAAAAACTGATATTAATTTCCTTTAGAAGAGAGAGTACTGACAAAATGAATACACTACTCTTCTGCATACTCTAGAGACCACTGTTCATTTCATTTATTAACAATTTAATTTTAATAGCGTGAACCTTCACAAAAGCTTTAAGGTCAGCTAGTAATAAGGCTATAAGAAGGGCCCTGCTGGATCAGACCGAGGATTCATCTAGTCCACCATTCCATTCACACAAGGACAATCTACCTTTGGGAAACAGCCTCCTATGTGTGTTTCCCAATAACTGGTGTACACAGGCATACTGCCTCTGCTACTGGAGTCAGCATATGGCCACCAATGCCAGTTGGCATTGATAGCCTTTAGCTGCATGAATACATCTAGTCCTCTTTTAAAGCCATCTGAACTGATAGCAGCCAATATATTTTGTAGTGAATTTTATTGCTTAACTGTGCTCTATGTGAACTGACCTGCATTTCCCACCAATCAGCTTTGTGGAATGACCCTGGGCTCCCGTTCTATAAGAAAGGAAGTAAAAAGTCTCCCTATGCACTTTCTTCACACCATACACAATTTTATACATCTCTGTTTTGTCTCCTCTTCTTCAGGTTTGTGGCAGAACCAGGTCTTCCTGGTCTGTCTGATGTGCCAACCATTTTACCACACTAGATCTCCTTTGTTAATATTTCTAAGGAAGCTTTCCCCCACCTGGCTGGTCATGCTGGCTGGGAGTTATGGGAGTGGCAGTTCAACAACCTTGGAAGGCACAAAGTTTGTTGTAGAGCAGGAATGGACAAAAAGTAGCTATCCAGATGTTTTGGACCTCTGCTCCTGGAAGCATGGCCAGTGGTCAAGAATTCTGGAAGTTGAGTTCCAAAACAGCTGGAGATCCACTTAATTGCCCTTCCTTGCTGTAGATAATACCAGAGGTAGGAAGAGAAGAGACTGGGCAGTGTTGCATCATAATATGTAGTTATGGTCTAGTATGTTAATTCTTTATGAAAAGTAAATAACATCACTATAGAATTAAAGGACCATAATTATTTTCTTTTAACTACTATTCCATTACCCAGGAATTCTTTCTGTTTACCAAGGAAAACAGAAAGAATTGCTACGTAAGGTAGCAATGTTGACTTTCAATGCTTCCTTGCTACATTTCGTGTCCCTGTTATACCACACAGGCACATGCAGAAGCCTGTCATTTCCCTGTTAGTTCCAGAATATGATACCATATGGTGGCTTACCAACGCAAAGTCCTGAAGCATATGGGTGTTCTTGGAAGGGATCCATAAAACAATGCCTTCAAAATCTTGGGAAATGAACTCAAATAATCCTAAATGTCTGTTTTACACATTTTATAAGACCAGTTATATTTTAATAATAGCTGTAATGCTATAATGCTCACTTGCTTAGACAAATCCTTTAAGGTAAGGTATTGTTAGTTACTTGATCCATAATCCTTGTAGCCTTTTCACCATCCATACTATACCCATAGACTGAGCTGAATCCCTGACAAAAGCCCAGACAGTGTGGTGTAGTGGTTAAGAGCATGGGACTGGGACTCAGACGATCTGGGTTCTAGTCCCCGCTCAGCCATGGAGCCAACTGGGTGACTTTGGGCCAGTCACAGACTCTCAGCCCAGCCTACCTCACAGGGTTGTTGTGGGGATAAGATGGAGGAGGAGAATGATGTAAGCTGCCTTGAGCCCTTTGTAGGAAAAAGGCAGGATATGAATTGAATGAATAAATAAATAAATAAATAAATAAATAAATAAAGTGGTCCAGTGGATTACAATGACCTCGGAAACATGTATGGAAAGCAGGCTGGAAAAGTGTGGGTTTAGGGGAAAGGCACTGCATCTTTGGATTCTGACTAGAAGCTACTTACAACAATGTTACTATAATTGCAGTGAATGCAAAGACTGTATTTTTCCTCTGTGTTGTTCTGTATCTTCAAAATGAAAGCCTTAGTTTAGTCTTCATTATACACATGTATGTATGTATTTATGACATTTCTATACCATCAATTGCAATAGTTTTCTGGGTAGTTCACAACAATTAAAATCACCAAGTGCAATTTCCTAAATTATAATAGAAAAGTAACAAAGTTTAAAACAGCAATATACAATAAAAATAAAAGTAAAAATGAGAGCCACTGTGGTGTAGTGGTTAAGAGCATGGGACTGGGACTCAGATGATCTGGGTTCGAGTCCCCGCTCAGCCATGGAGCCAACTGGGTGACTTTGGGCCAGTCACAGACTCTCAGCCCAACCTACCTCACAGGGTTGTTGTTGTGGGAGGAGATGGCGGAGGAGATGTAAGCTGCCTTGGGCCCTTTGTAGGAAAAAGGCAGGATATAAATTGAAAAAACAAACAAATAAAAATAAAACCTTGCAGTAGTGTAAAGCTTTAAAATACAGTAACAGATTCAAATTATGAGAAACTAAAACCAAATACATCTGGAAAAATAAGGTCTTCATCTGACACTGAAAAAGTAAGTTTCTTTTGAATCCACAACTGGTGTGCCACAACAGGAAGTGTCCTTATCTTAGTAGCCACCTCCACCCTTCCTTTGCCAGAGGTATCTGGAAAATGACAGCTGAATGATATCGTAGGGTATGGGCAAGTATACATGGAGAGGGGTGATCCTTCAGATAAGCTGACCCCATGCCCTGGAAATCTCATGATTCTTCTTCAACGTAGCATTTTCCATTTGCAAAATTCCTCCATAACTATTTTAACTAAGAAGATTGTGGACATCCTCTTTATACTTGCATAAGACTGGCTGGTTTTGGCCATCAAGGTCTTTTACCCCTCTTCTTGAGGAGGAAGGGATGGAACTCTACCAGCATTCCTCATAACCCAGCAAAGCTGCACTTCTCCTTTCTCTGCTCCTTTCTTTACTGACTGTGAGGGCAAAGGTAGTGTTCATAGTTGGAGTCCAAGGTTTGACCTCAGAATGCATTTTTAGGGTTGGAACGGGGAAACCAATGTCTCCTATGGCCTTCAAGACAGCATCTAGCAGCCTCAAGATTGCAACCTAGCAATGTTTAGCTAATTCATCTTGATCAGGCTGTTATCTAATTAAATACATTTCAGTTGATTAATCAGACAAGCTGTAATGAATATTTATTCTATTTTTAATCAAGCCATGGAGCTTACCAGGATGATGATGATGATATACACTCCAGTTTAAAAATTAAACTAAATGAAGGGAAATGGATAGGAAAGGCAAAGCAATGAGATCCATTTGATATTGTCAGGAAAAAAACTGCTTCTCATCTTTGGCTTTGTCCCCCACCACCACCTCACACAGCATTTTTGCTTTTTAGAAAGCGCATTTGCACTAGTAGAAGGTTTTTTAAAAGGCAAATTGCTACATGGTGATGACTGGGTGAACAGCTGTAGAGCAGAGGGGAGGAGGCTTAACCCTTTCCTCCTCAGCTTACTCCTTCCCTCCCAGGTGACTGCAACAATCAGAAGGTTGGGAGGCTATGGGCATCTCCAAAGGGTTGTGCCTTTAGTTAGTTAGATTTCGTATAGTTCACATGAACAGGACTTCTAGTTCTCCCTTCTGTAGAGTCCCTTCCTGATCAGAGTTCGGGGTGCATAGGGGCTGGGGTTGCAGGGCAGAAATCTATTCCACCAACAGTTTCTGTTCAGCAAGTGGTTCCCATTCAGCTGTCAGATACAACCTGGTCAGTTTTAATATTTTATTCAAGACTTTATGTGGATAATATTTTTATTGGAATGCTTCCAGTATTCTTAAGATAGTGGGCAGCATCCAATGGTGCTATTTTGAAAATGTAAGAAATGCTAGAGGAGTGTAGCTGGATCATTCCACCGCACAAGAACATTGCACACATGTAGGTGATTGCACTCGTGTTTGTGCAGCTGTAAAAAGCTGGTTTCTCATCTTGTGCATAGTTCAGCCTAGTTTCTGCTGGCGCAACGGCATTTACAGTAGGCAGATACTGCCCAATAGCGTGAAAGTGGAACCTGTTGACATGAATGATTTAAGTTAAATTATTGTGCACCTAAAATGCATCTTTTTCAGTGTTTGAAAACTTTTTGGGAAATCCTTTGTTTCTTTTTCTAGCTAAGAAGAAGAAACCAAAATTGCTCAATAAATTTGATAAGGGCATTAAAGTTGAGCTTGATGCTGCAGAAAAGCTCCGTAAAAAGGTAAGCCTAGAAAGTCTAAATCAGTTGTGTTCAAATGAAGAAAACAGAAGGAGTTTTTGCTAAATAGTCAAGCTGAAAGAGAATCAGCGTTGTGCTCTTTGGCTATAAATGACTCATGGTCATTTAGAAATTATATTTCTAAATTAGAAATATATATATTTCAAATATTCCAAATTTACCCTAGATGTTCAGTTGAAACCATCTGCAAAGTTTTGGATACTTTCCTGGTTGTCATGCATGAAAGAAATCCCTTTGAGCAACCATCTAATAATATAGTTGTTAACATATGCTTTGTATAAAAATGGTACATTCTTGCTTTTATTTAAGTGTATAATGTTTGTTAACTCCAACATAGTTGCACCAAGTACCCTCCAGAACATTTGGGCAAATTGTGTTCCTCTAGATGCTTTTGCCTACAACTCCCATCAACCCTAGCCTGCATAGTTACTGGTGATGAAAGTTTGTAGGCCAAAGCATCTGAAAGGCTACAAGTTGGTCAACATTGCTATGTTTTCTGTATGTCTCCACAAGCAATTTTATTTATTATTTATTTAGGATTTTTCTAGGCTGTTCAATCACTTCTGGCTCTGGACGGCTCACAATTTTACTAAATGATATCAAAATTTATTAATCACTTTTTGGCATTTTTACTTGATGATTGAATAATTCTGGATGCTAACATTTTTTCTATAGAGCAAATTACTTAGATAATATATATCTAACTTTCAGGGGAAAGCAGAGGAAGCTTTGAAAGAATTTGAAAAATTAGTAAGCAAGTATCCTCAAAGTCCACGAGCAAGATATGGAAAAGCTCAGGTAAAATGTGAAAAAAGCTATTTATTGGAAGTCGAATTGTCTAGTTCAATATGTCTGTATTTTTTTTATTTGATTCTTAGCCTGTTTTTTTCTAATGAACTCAACCCATTATTATCCACTCCCCTGCTCTTAATCTTATCCCCTCAACTACAACCCTGTGAGATAGGCTGGGCTGAGACTAGCCCAAAGTCACTCAGTTGGCCCTATGGCTGAACAGGGACTAGAAGCCAGGTGTGCTGAGTCCCAGACCCATGCTCTTAAACACTACACCGCACCAGCACATGCATAACAGCCTTTCATTTCAAAAGCATTAAGTGGATTTAAGTGGATTTATTTTTTACAAAAGCCAACAACACTGCAAGTCTATCCCCTAAGCTACATTTGGGGCTATTTTATGTTTTTTAATCTTCCTTTGTTGTTGTTCTGTGTCGACTTACAGCAATTTCAATAGACATATAAAAGGAGGCTAAATGTCTTGGCTTAGAACCAAAGTAGAGTTCCATGTAGGCTGGAGGAAAAGTTGGGTATTTTGAGCTGGTCCCTTTCCTCTTTTCTTTCTGTTAATCAAACTCAAGATAACCCCTTTGATGTGTGATTCTTTTATTGAAACTTAATATATTACAGAACAGTATAAACTCTAAATACCCTTCTGTTAAAGTTGAGAAAGAAGCATCTGCCCATGTAAAGAGTTGAATGCAAACTGAAACTTTTCTTTCCCTTTCAGTCCCTCTCTTTTGGTAGAGCATCCAACTCCTGCTGCAGGCTGGCTCTTTCTGCTTGAGAGCTAGGCAGTGGGAATGTCTGATACTTTGTAATCCGGCAGCTCATTTCTCCTTGTGACTGAGTGGGTCAAAGAGTTCTTATTGCATCTGCTTCCTCCTCTTACCCTGAAAACTTTCCCTTTCCAAGGCAGGCAGATTCTCATGCCCAGCCTGAGAAACTTCACTAGCTAACCTTGAAACGGTCAAGTTCTCTCCACCCCTCTTGCTGCTCCTCAGAATTGGAAAAATCAATCTGAGAAGCCTGCACTGAGCAAGAGACGGTTCCCCTCTGTACAGTGGGAAGGCTCTCTTCATTGATTCATTTTTCCTTATGACTCCTTAAAACTACCCTGAAAGGCAGGGAATTCAGTGGAACAATCTAATACAATTAACATGTTTATTTAATGGCACATTCAGATGACCATTTGTACTACAATAATTTTCTTGTCATCCTCAGATGAACTGATCATATGCAGACCAGTCATCACCATGTGCTAATCTGGGCCTGGAATTATTTTTCACCTTGATTGCATGTGAAATTTTGAGTGGATTAGATTGAAATGCCTGTCAAAGATTGGCTCAAAAGATGGTCAGCAGCAAGAGGTACACCCAGGAAAGCAGAGATGAAAATAGGCAAGGAGATGACTGAAAACTTCAATTTTGCATTAATGGCCTAGGGTATATCTTTAAAAGGACCCTCTAATTTCATGAGTACAGTGCATTTTATTCTGACCAATAAAAATTGTATTTGGTTAAGCAAGAATTGCTTAATGTCAACACTGATTCCTTCCAGCTCCTTTAACAGCCAGCTTTTTCTGAAAGAAAGGAGCAGGTGACATAATGCCTTAATAATTCATGAAGGTTAGAGGCTAGAGACCTCCTGCCTTTCCTCCTTTGGATGCATCTCTGCTTCTTGTGTTACATGTGAGTAAGCGATGGCATTCTCAGAGTTCTATTCTAACATACCTCAGATTAAGTAGCCCTAAAATAACATGAACACACACCCTAATCTCTTTGCCTGAAATTACATAATGGGAAAAGGGTGAGTTCCCTCTTGTCATTTCTTCAATAGACAGCAGTCTAACCCCACCCTACCTCACACCAATAGTCTTCAATTTGTAGTCCTTCAAACTAACTTGCTATAAAAACTCCCCATTCTGCAAAGTCATTCTACTGTCATTGAAATGAATTGAAATGAAATGAATTATACTACCTTTGAACCAGTACCATATGGTTGTCTAAAGGTTAATTTGATTATTTCCAAATTAAAAAGCATTTAAGGCACCTCAGAAAATCAGAAAAGGGGAAAACACGTGCTATTAAAATGTGTTCCCTTTTTTTAAGGTAAGCATTCTGGCTGGTTTTAGAGCTGGGTTCTCAAAGGAGGTATCCATGAGCAGCAATGTATGCATGGACACATTTTTGAACCCCAAGGCACCTTGCTCCTCCTTACTTTTATATTGACCCTTAAGATGTTTTTCATTAACTGGGTAGCTGGCATGCAGCAAAGGAAAGTGTTGCCCTCCAATGCCATCTTCATTTGGAAGTTAAAGGGTGGCTTTTTCTATTGGAGATTATACCCAGCTTCTGCACTTAGTTTCTTGGACAAGTTACTTTTCTGTTACTGTCCCCGGTTTCCATTCTGGGAAATTCATGTTTTATAACCATCCATGCCAGCATGGAAGCCTTTTCATGAATAGGCAAACCTACAGAGCAGCTATTTTGTGAAAGGGCCTTCAACACTCTATCAATTTGGAGTGTGCCTGTCACAATACAAAAGGTTTGGGGATCCCTACAAAAAGTATGTTCAACAGCTTTTAAAATATTTTCCATGGAATTTGGTGGACATGTTGATGTTTGTAATAAGTTCTAGCTTGAATCCATAACATATTTGCACAACCTGGAATTATGCATATTGTTTCATATAAATGTTATGAATGTCAAACATTTTAACCCCTTTTTCTATAGGTGATGGCTAATTAAATATAAAATATGTAATCCAACTGCTGCCCACTAATTTTAAAGTTAAGATCAAAAAGTTCATGGGTGATTTCATGAATGCTTTATGATCACATACAGAGTGAGGATGACTTGGCTGAGAAAATGAGAAGCAATGAAATGCTACAGCAGTCGATCAGTACATATGGTGAGGTGGCTACTCTACCAAATGTTCCCAATGATCTGATAAAACTGACCCTGAAACGACGAGCAGATAGGCAGCAGTTTCTTGGTAAGTTTCTCATATCTGTACTTACATATGTGAATGGGCACTGCATATGCATGGATGCCAGGAGAGTCATCCCATTGACTTTAGACTGTGGCCTCATCCCCATCCTTGATCAAGGCCCACACTTGGAGCAGTACTGGGCCAACCTATGAGAGAACACAAATAATAATACCCCTTAATAGAGGACAATCAGCATTATACAGGCTGATACACTTTTAAACAAAGTTTTCTGGAAGATAGCTGGAAGACCATTACTGTATGATATTTGACATTGTTTGATGGATACCGTACGCTAATGTTGGCTATTAAATAGCTTTTGATAATAGACAAGGAAGATTATTTATTTTATACTATTTAGATATATGACATGTCATGGTAATTTGCATTTGAAAGTTGACTACTTGGTACAGAATGGAACTAGAACATTTCAAATATGTGTAAATACTCAGTTCCAATCTAATGAATGCTCATGTTCGTGTGCATGCATGCACACACATTTCAAATACTTCAAATTGGTGTTGCTGTTAATTCTTCTATTCTGAATTAAGCAATTGCCAAACTGTGTACCATGCCAGTGCATTTTAAATTGCTGTGTTCTGTAAGTTATTAAAAAATTAAAGACTTCCATGAGTTCATAGTTGTTATCCACAGAGGAGTCTAGACTTTAGTTCACTGCTAGTGCACTGCCCCTTCCTTGCTCTTTTCCATCAACTTCATCCAGGGGTGAGTAACTCTACTACATGTCCCCATTGGGAAAGATTGGAGCACTCCAGAAGTTGAGATGTGAAACCTCCAGGCTAAATTTTTATTATACAGATCACAGATCTGTGATTATTATTATACAGATCACAGAAGTATTCATGCAAGAAATAATTCAATATATAGTTACCAAATGCATTTCAACATTTTTGGTCTTCCTGGTGGCATTAACATGAAGTTAATCTTATAGGTAAAGTTGTGAGTCTTCCAGGATGATGGGGAAGATAGCAGCTCATCCATAATTTAGATACATTATTTAAAGGTTGATATCATAAAATGTCAGTGAATACTGTGAGGCATTGTCTTCCTGTGAGACTAGAAGTTTGATTATTGTGCCTATTTGGACTAATTTCATTTTATCGATACCTGTAGTTGATGCATTGAAATTGCACCTTTAAATAAACGCTTAAATGAACTGGGGATTAATTGGCAGTTCACCTATCAGTGCTGTGAATCCATTTTTATGGAGCATCATGCTTCAAAAGAATGGTGATACAAAAACTCTCCACAAGAGGTCTCCATAAGACTGGCTGTTCTTAAAATCAGTAAAGTAATACATGAGCAAAATAACTATGTGTTTTACATTTACATTCATGTTCTGCATTATTAGTGATTAGCAATGTACACTCTTACTATCAATTCTGATAATTTTAGCCAAATTTAACTGGTGAGCATACATTATCTATAATCACTGCTACTTGTAACCACGTTGCTGCTTTCTTTGTCCAATCAAATTAGGTCACATGAGAGGTTCACTAGTTACACTGCAAAAACTGGTGAATTTGTTTCCCAATGATACTTCATTCAAGAACAACCTTGGAGTGGGTTACCTTTTGATTGGAGACAATAGTAATGCCAAAACAGTTTATGAGGAGGTGAGATCCTTTCAAATATGTAATTTAAAATGTAATTTAAATATTGATCACTGATCTGGTCACTTTTAGAACACCGTGGTTACAAAACCAAAGCAAAACAAAACTGTGTGCTTTTACAAGTGTTGGGCCAATGGCATGTTGAGACAGTCCCATGGTGCTGCTATCTGCACAAATTGAAACTTCCAGATTCAGGAGCAGCCCCACATTGTGGCAGTCTAAAAGTAAACTTAGCTGCAACCTTTACAGCTGTTGCACCAAACTTAACTATGCAGATAAAAGACTTGCCACTGCTTACCACCTGAAGATCCAGGATGAGTGCAGCATCGATGAGTGCTTCCAAGTGCAACCCTTTTAGAACATAGAATCATAGAATAGTAGGGTTGGAAGGGGCCATGAAGGCCATCGAGTCCAAGCCCCTGCTGTTGCAGGACACCACGTTACACCATCCCACTCAGATGGCTGTCCAGTGTCTTTTGGAATGTCTCTACTGTGGGAGAGCCCACCACCTCTCTGGGCAGCTGGTTCCACTGTCATATTGCTCTGACAGTGAAGACATGTTGCATCCCAATCTGTCCTTTGCTGACATTCCAGAACTCCTTCGTCTTCACTGTCTGAACTTCCATTCCCATCAAAGCTATAAATGGGTCATGCACATTCTGCCAGCTTTTCTCTGTGCATTCGGGAAGGTTAAAGCTGAAAAAGAGCTGAGATTAGCTGCAAACAGCAACAAAATGTCTTTGGGTAAGTGCATAGTAGAAGACTGAGGAAAGAGATGGTTGTTCAGGTACTCAATGAGGATGGGAAAATTATAACATGACAAAGAAAATGCAGACTTGCTCAATTCTTATTTTATCTCCATTTTCTCAAAAAAGGTCTGTTAACTCCTCAGCAAAGGTGAAGTAAAAACTGAAAGGGCAGGATTGCAGTTTAAGATTGATAGGCAAATGGTCAAGGAACACCTCATTACTTTAAATGAGTTCAAATCTCCAGGGCCTGCTGAACTGCATCCTACAGTAATAAAAGAACTGGCAGAAGAACTCTCAAAACCACTGTCTGTTATCTTTAAGAAACCATGGAAGGTAGGGGAAGTGCCAGATGACTGGAGGAAGGCTAATATTATCCCTTTGTTCTAAAAGGGAAAAAAGAAGACCCTGGGAACAACAGACCAGTCTGACATCAATCCCTAAGAAAATTCTGCAGTCGATCATAAAGCAATCAAAGTACAAATGTGATGAACATAATGCAATAATTGCTAGGAGTCAACATGGATTTATCAAGAATAATTTTTTCTTGACTAAGCTGTTAATCTCATTTGCAGTGGCATAACTAGCCTGGTGGACTGTGGGGATGCTGTGGACACAATATATCTTGACTTTAGCAAACCTTTTTACAAAGTATCTCAGAACAGATCACAAGCTGAATATTGGTCAACGAAGTGATATGACTGCAAAAAAAGACAAATGATATTTTGGACTGCATTAATAGAAGTACCATTTTCAAATCATGTGAGGTACTAGTTCTTCCCTACTCAATACTGATTAGGCCTCAATGGTTGAATACTGCATCCATTTCTGGGCACCACAGTTTAAGAATGATCCAGACAAATTGGAAAGATTCAAAAGAGGGCAACAAAGATGATCAGGACTTTGAAAACAAAGCTCTTCTCAAATGGAAGAATTAGGCATGTTTGTCATGAGACTGTACCTTTCCTCCTTCCTCTGGTTCCAAATCTCAGAACAGTCCTTTGAAAATAGAATTATTTTATTAAGCTCCACAGATAATAGTGTTCTAAATAGCCTTCTCTCCTTCATGGATCCCCTTAGGTCGGAAGGTGTCCATTATGCTACTGGGGAAGAGCAGAGGGCTAGTACTAGTAGCGCCAGAAGCGACTGGGTCAAAGCTGAAAGGACACTCAGTTGCAGATGTATCTGGTGGTAAAAGGAAAGTCCGATGCTGCAAAGATCTATACTCCATAGGAACCTGGAATGTAAAATCCATGAATCAAGGCAAGCTGGATGTGGTCATACAAGAGATGACAAGACTGAACATCGACATCTTAGGAATCAGTGAACTAAAATGTACAGGAATGGGTGAATTTAATTCAGATGACCATCATGTATACCATTGTGGGCAAGAATCCCTCAGAAGAAATGGAGTAGCCAACACAGTCAATAAAAGAGTAGGAAAAGCAGTACTGGGATACAACCTCCAAAATGACAGAATGATCTCAGTTTGAATTCAAGGCAAACCATTCAACATCACAATAGTCCAAGTCTGTGCCCCAACCACTGGTGCTGAAGAGGCTGAAGTTGACCAGTTCTATGATGGCCTGCAACACCTCCTAGAATTAACACCCAAAATGTCCTTATCATCATGGGGGATTGGAATGCTAAAGTAGGAAGCCAAAAGATAACCGGAATAACAGGCAGGTTTGGCCTTGGAGTACAAATGAAGCAGGGCACAGGCTGGTAGAGTTTTGTCAAGAGAATACGATGGTCATAGCAAACGCTCTTCCAACAACCCGAGAGACGACTCTACACATGGACATCACCAGACGGTCAACACAGAAATCAGATTGACTATGTGCTCTGCAGCCAAAGATGGAGAAGCTCTATACAGTCAGTAAAAACTAGACCAGGAGCTGAATGTGGCTCAGATCATGAGCTTCTCGTTGCAAAATTTAGGCCTAAATTGAAGAAAGTAGGGAAAAGCACAAGGCCACTCAGGTATGACCTAAATCATATCCCTGATGAATATACAATAGAAGTGACAAACAGATTTAAGGAATTAGATCTGATAGACAAAGTGCCTGAAGAACTATGGACGGAGGTTCGCAACATTGTACAAGAGGTAGCAACTAAAACCATCCCAAAGAAAAAGAAATGCAAGAAAGCAAAATGGCTGACTGAGGAAGCTTTACAAATAGCTGAGGAAAGAAGGGAAGCAAAAGGCAAGGAAGAAAGAGAAAGATACACCCAACTGAATGCAGAATTCCAAAGAATAGCTAGAAGAGATAAGAATGCCTTCTTAAATGAACAGTGCAAAGAAATAGAAGAAAACAATAGAATAGGGAGGACCAGAGATCTCTTCAGGAAAATTGGAGATATGAAGGGAATGTTTCATGCAAAGATGGGCATGATAAAGGACCAAAATGGCAGGGACCTAACAGAGGCAGAAGAGATTAAGAAGAGGTGGCAAGATTACACAGAAGAACTATACAAGAAAGAGCTTAACGTCCCTGATAACCACAATGGGGTGGTCACTGACCTCGAGCCAGACATCCTGGAATATGAAGTCAAATGGGCCTTAGGAAGTCTGAGCAACAACAAGCTAGTGGAGGTGACAGTATTCCAACTGAGCTATTTAAAATCTTAAAAGATGATGCAGTAAATGTGCTACACTCAATATGCCAGCAAATTTGGAAAACTCAACAGTGGCCACAGGATTGGAAAAGGTCAGTTTACATTCCGATCCCAAAGAAGGGCAATGCCAAAGAATGTTCAAACTACCGCACCATTGCACTCATTTCACATGCTAGCAAAGTGATGCTCAAAATCCTACAAGCTAGGCTCCAGCAGTATGTGGACCAAGAACTACCAGAAGTACAGGCAGGATTTCGAAGAGGGAGAGGAACTAGAGATCAAATTGCCAACATACGCTGGATCATGGAGAAAGCTAGGGAGTTCCAGAAAAACATCTACTTCTGCCTCATTGACTATGCTAAAGCCTTTGATTGTGTGGATCACAACAAACTGTGGCAAATTCTTAAAGAGATAGGAGTACCTGACCATCTTATTTGTCTCTTGAGAAACAGTGAGAACTGGACACGGAACCACTGATTGGTTCAAAATTGAGAAAGGAGTTTGGCAAGGCTGCATGCTGTCTCCCTGCCTATTTAACTTATATGCAGATCGCATCATGAGAAAGGCGGGGCTAGATGAATCTCCAGTTGCAATTAAATTGCTGGGAGAAATATCAACAACCTCAGATATGCAGATGATACCACTCTAATGGCAGAAAGTGAAGAGGAACTAAAGAGTCTCTTGATGCGGGTGAAGGAGGAGAGCGCAAAAGTTGGCTTGAAACTCAACATTAAGAAAACTAAGATCATGGCATCCAGTCCTCTCACTTCCTGGCAAATGGATGGGGAAGAAATGGAGGTAGTGACAGATTTTATTTTACTGGGCTCCAAGATCATCGCAGACAGGGACTGCACCCAAGAAATTAAAAGACGCTTGCTCCTGGGAAGGAAAGCTATGGCAAATCTAGACAGCATACTAAAAAGCAGAGACATCACTCTGCCAAGAAAAGGCTATGGTTTTCCCAGTTGCAATGTATGGCTGTAAAAGCTGGACCATAAGGAAGGCTGAGCGCCAAAGAATTGAGGCCTTTGAGTTGTGGTGCTGGAGGAGACTCCTGCGAGTCCCTTGGACCGCAAGGCGATCAAACTGGTCAGTCCTTGTGGAGATCAACCCTGACTGCTCTTTAGAAGGCCAGATCCTGAAGATGAAACTCAAATACTTTGGCCAGCTAATGAGAAGGAAGGACTCCCTGGAGAAGAGCCTAATGCTGGGCACAATAGATGGCAAAAGAAGAAGGGGACGACAGAGAATGAGGTGGCTAGATGGAGTCACTGAAGCAGCTGGTGTGAGCTTAAGTGGACTCCGTGGGATGGTGGAGGACAGGAAGGCCTGGAGGAATGTTGTCCATGGGGCCGCGATGGGTTGGACATGACTTCGTGACTAACAACAGCAACCACAAAATAGCCTTCTAAATAGTTTGAGTTCTAAACAGCCTTCTACCAAAGCTGGAAAGAAAACCTCTGTTCATGTAAAGACTCTCAGCTAGAAACTCCCCTGTTGTTTTTCCTTTCAGTAAAGCTTCTGGCTTTGCCTTTACGGTAGCGCTTGCTGCCAGAAAGCTAGATTTGATCAGCTCATTTCTTCCAGCACCTCTTCACTGGGTCAAGTGCTGGGTCTCACAATGCTCCGTTCCCTTCCTGAAAACCTGTTCTCCTCTTCCAAAACAGACTGGTCCTCACACTTGACCTGAGAAATTTCAATAGTCATAGCTGAAGGAGCTTCAAAGGCTTCAGCCCCCCCCCCCCTTGCTGCTCTTCTTGATTAGAATCTAACAATGATGAGCAGTCATTGGTCCACTCTCTACAGTGTTTAGCACTGAGAAGACTGCGGGGGTGGGGAGATAAAGTAGCTCTCTTCAAGTACTTTAAAGGTCTCACACAGAAGAGGGCCAGGATTTGCTCTTGAACATGCCAGAGGGCAGCACATGGAAAATGGGCTCACAGTGCAGGAATTCATATTTCAGCTGAACATCAGCCATGGTGTGTCACATCTTTCTGACACACCATGATGAACAGGTCACCCACACTGCATAGTATATCGATAAGATGGCTCAGCATGTCATGTGAAGCTGCCCTGTCTGTAGCTCTGCCCTTAAATAACTGATGGAGCGACAGAAACTTCTGATCTGATGGAAAGAACACTGTTCTTGAGCCAAGAATTTTTAATATATTGCTCAAAATTAATGAAAGACTCTCAGAATTACTACAGAGGTAAAGCTTATACTGGTTTTAATGGCTTATAGTTTAACCTTATAATGGTTATAATGGATTTTGTTTTCCTCTCCCACAGGTTCTGAGCCTGGCTCCTAATGATGGCTTTGCTAAAGTGCATTATGGCTTTATCCTGAAGGCAGAGAATAAGATTGAAGAAAGCATTCCCTATTTAAAAGTAAAATTTGTATTAGGATCATGTTGTTTTTCTTCTTTTGGAAAGCATAATACACTGGCAGGGGAAGGAAGAGATGCAACATACAGGATCAAATGAATGGCATTTAATATTTGAAGTCCTTAAAATAACCTCAATTAAGTTATATCTTGTTTTCCTGCCCACTCTGCTTTTAGGACCAGTTCATTTAACCATTTTTGAGATGGGTCTTCTGAAAGCATCCTGCACCTGGTAAAAGTTACTGTTGCAGGCATATTTTAACAAGGCCATTTTCTCATGTGAACATTTGAAGGGGAAAGGTAATTTTCCCCCTCCAGAACTACCCATATAGAGTTGGTGGTCAATAGCAGAGAAGGTAAGGAAAAAGAAATGATAGGTAATTGACATGGGAACTAAGTAATTGCATGGGAACAGGAAGCGGGTATATAAAGATATTCAATTTGAAAAAGTTGCATTGGTTTCACATATTGGGTTAAGGTTTTCCATGTTCACTCAAGCATCAAAATGCCATGAAATTACAGATGTTAAAGGTCATATCCTTAACAGATGTGTTATTTAGTTCTTGCCTTCACTAATACATTGAAACTGGATGGCAGTCAGCTGCAGAATGGTGGACCTAAATCCCAGATTTGTTTTTCCCTAGAATTGACACATAGAATCCATGCAACTAAAGCATGGAAAACCAGGGTGGGGAAGGGGTTAAATAGAGTATCTGGGAAAAGAACATGACTGGCTGGAATATTTTGTGGCAGTTCCCACTTTTATTAGTATATTTACACCAGTAGCTGTGCATCTGAATCTGGTGTTGGTTTTATTAATGAGGAACTATCATAATTGCTCTTTCATCTAGGAAGGTCTAGAATCAGGAGACCCTGGCACTGATGATGGCCGCTTTTACTTTCATTTGGGTGATGCCATGCAGCGTGTTGGTAACAAGGAGGTAAAGTTGACTGATTTTTATCTTGAAAGACCAAAAAAATAAATAAAAAGAGGCCTGAGCTAAGGCCATAACAACTGCAATGTCTTTGTTAGGGAATATGTGCTGCACAGCAAAAAGCCAAAACCAACCAATTTTGAAGACTAAGATTAAATCAAAAGGGAATAGGTTGAAGCAATTATCTAGGAATAAATAAGACTCTAATTTTTCTCATCTTATCAAAGTAGGCTGAGTAGACTAACAGTAACTAGATTTGCACAATTTGACAACTCATTGTGGCAACAAGTCATGGTGGGTTGTCAGGTTGGGCTAACCTGGACTATTTTCAGCAGAGTGGATTGTTCATGGGCAACAATCTACCTTAACAACTCATGGCTTATTGTAGGGGTTACTATACCCACAGTTGGTTGTCATATTATCCAAGCCCAAATGCCATTGTGAATACCTTGAATACCAACCCTCTTGACAAGAGTGACAACCCCACCAAACTTACCTGGTCTACTGCCAGTGTCACTCATCCCACAAGTGCCCACACAATACTTTGGGGTGACAATCGCTGGGTTGGGGGCCATACTACAATCATGAGCCCTTTATGGCTTGCCATGGCCTTTTCTCCTTTACTTTTTTTTTCTTTTCAGAGATCCTGAACAGTGGTTGCCAAACAGTGAGAGCCCAAGCAAGATGCTGGAGGGGCTGTCCTAGGTTGATCACCTTAAAAGAATGCACCCCAAAAGTATTTTTGTACTTTAAAAAATCTAGTTGGGCTTTCAGACTTCCACAAGTCTAAAATAGGTAGCCTTACCTGGGCGATGTTCTTGGAGGTATGTGTTGGACCAAGGATCTAAACAGATAGCCTGCAATATTTTTGACACTGCTTTCCTCTGACAGCTATCAAAAGATGAGCTGTCAAGACAAAGCAAAGCTGTGAGAGATCTTTGTTCATGGAAGGAAGTGTTCTTTCCTTCTGATTTGGGCCTCAGAATAGCATCAGGAGTGGCATCACAACAGAGAAGCAGACTTTTTAAAATCTTTTAAAATTTCTTTTAGCTTTATGATGTTTTGGGAAGGAAAGTCTTGGACTGATTATATATTTTTCTGAAGTATAAACTTCATAATTATTTCATATTGTTATAAAGGATAGTCGGAATATACACACACACACATCTTTGTCACGTCATTTATATTGCACACATGCACACAAACACACACACATATATGTCATCACAAGCCATTTATTGTTATACACTTACACACACATATATAGCAGTGAGGACCTTTGGAATTTCAGACCTGTGCACCAAACGAAGGCACTTTAAAAAACCATAGTTAATGCAGATTCTCCAGCCAGCTTCAGGCTGCTTCAGACAGGAATAATAGCAGCTCTCCTGCAGCCGGTGAGAATATGACCTGTACAGATGCAGTTTCTTCATAGTAGCTGCTTTGGCAGCTCTAGAAAAAGTATTTTCTGCTGATTAGTCACCTCGCAGATGGGTAGTATGTATCCATTGCCTTCCCCAGAGCTTCTTAACATTTGCAGGATTAGCTATACAAGCTTTCCCCCCCTCTATGATATACTGCTGCCTACAAACTGCAGAACCTCCTGCAGGATGTTGTTTTGATGATTAAGGCGGTCCCTTGTTCACACTGACTGAGGAAACTCGTGAAACTGCAGGAGAGCAGCCATGGTTATCTACAAGGCAACTCAACAGATTAAGCAAATAGTGGAGAACTTTGTACTGTAACCCTAGATGGATGCCGGAAGGTGGCCAGAAGGTATCCCTTAGTCACAGCAGTGGCATGCTGAGCAGGCCACTTGTTAGCCCTCTAACTTGACAAAGTATGCATGTTGTGGAAACTCTGCTCTGCAGAATTCAGGAGGCATGCAAGAGGCTTGATTTGCCAAGAACGGCTTTTTATTCTTGATCCAACCCATGGAAACACGATGGTGAAACCAGTCAACTTCCATTCCTAGCCAGAGTCCTCTTTGGTGTTGCCCTCCTCACGTGCTGGTAAAGAGGCTGGAACAACCAAGAATGAATATGAGATTATCATGTATAGAACACTGAACTTCAGTCAGCTTGTGCATGTTTTATTTTGGTCTATTGACTTAATTTTTCATGTGACTTACAATGTTTATTTTATTAAATCCATCATCCATTTTTGTGGACTAAAATTGGGTTCATGAAAAATGAACTTCTTCAGGTGAAACATATTGCTGAATTTGTCAGTCCAACTCCAAGTTTATTGATTTATATATAAACTTTAACGTGTGCGTGTGTGTGAAAGTAAAAAGACACTGCTGGATTTGCTAAAATTCAAGATTTAATCAAGGAAGGAAAGCAATCTATAACCATTTGTAATCATACTCATGGAAGGTGCATGTTCATCACCTGAGGCTACAGTTAGGAATTCAAATTTCAAACATTTTTGTAGGAATAGTTTAATAAAAAGTATATTTGTGCAGGCAGCTTACATTTAAAATAAAAAGAATCAAATTTTAAAAGTCTTATGTACAAGGCATTGAGTAGATATAACACAGTGCAACTGAAGATGGCAAGAGCATACAAACATCTCATCTACCTGTTCAGCAGCTCTAATATCTGCCTGCCAAATTGAAGTTAAATAGGTGTGCATTATTACAAACTGAGCAACATTCCTGAGCAACTCCCTGCAGTTTTGCTGTTAAATTCATAGAAACAGTCCTTTGGTTTGCTGCCAGCCCAGATTGCTGTTGCTCATTAGGTCTGTCTACACCTACTAGTTAAAACAAATGCTCAGCTCTCTTTATGTTCTCTGAGTGACATGCATAGAAACTCCCCTACCCACAGCCCTTCAGGGCAAAGTATTAGCATAAAGCTATCTTTCCTCCTGTGCAGTCTGAAACCCAGAGACTCTGGTCTTAAAGATATGCTTTAAATTACTTGAAGGTAATACATAATTTGTATTATGCAACCTAAAAAGGTCACCATTTAGGACATCTCTGAGAAACTAAACAGTACTTAAAGGCAATTCAAGTGGAATTGTTATCCTGTTGTTCTTCCTCAGAGCTTCAGGTGCTCAGTGAATTTTGTGGCATTTTCCCCTCCCAAAGCTCCTTAGAATTGTACACAGTTGAGGAGTATCAGGCTATTCATGGCTGCAGTCATGATGACTTCCAGTATCAGAGGGTTAGGGTACCAGTTGCTGGAGAACATGAATGGGAAGGGGACTATTGTACTCAGGTCCTATTTATTGGCAGGGGGATTTGTTGGTGTTGTTGTTGTGAAGTCCTGTCCGACCCATCGCGACCCCATGGACAACATTCCTCCAGGCCTTCCTGTTCTCCACCATCCCCTGGAGTCCCCTTAAGCTCACGCCGACTGCTTCAGTGACTCCATCTAGCCACCTCATCCTTTGCCATCCCCTTCTTCTTTTGCCATCTATTGTTCCCAGCATTAGGCTCTTCTCCAGGGAGTTCTTCCTTCTCATTAGGTGGCCAAAGTAAGCATTTAAAAGATTTGAAGCCCAGGGCCATAGGACACAAATCTGCATACAATCTTCAGATGATAATTTATCTTTATATATGCATATGCAGAAAACAGATTTCTTTATGTTCAAGATGCTAAGCCAGCCAATTAATAAATTCTTCAAACATTTTGCACCCTGACTCAGATTATTTCATAGAAAATAGTTCATTACTGTGCAGGGGAATATTTGGGGGCAGGGACTGATGCAGCATGTAGAGGGATGCAGCCCAACTAATTTTCCCCTTGAAAACTACTTCCTAGCCAGGAGTCAAACTGAGAAAAAAAGCCTTCTGTTGGCATCAGTAGATACCCAGGGTTCTATGGAATAAATCCAGGGCCCTGGGAAATAGACTGAGGCCCAACCATAGCAAAGCTTCCAGATCTAGGGAGGTGTTGATACTGCTCTACATGACTCTGGTGCACCCACAACTGAAGTACTGAGTCCACATTATAGGAGAAAAATAGCTAGGTTAGAATCAGTTCAATGCAGGGTTATAAGTTATAAGCAGAGTTATAGCCAGGACGGGAGGGATGACATATGAGGAGAGATTGAGGGAACTGGTTCTTTTCAGCCTGGAAAAGAGGATTCTCCAAAGGGATCTTTTAGCGATTTATAGGTATGTGAAGGATGTCATGTGGAGAAGGGCCATGACCTGTTCTTCCCTGCAGTGGAGGGCAGGATGTTTTCCAATGGGCAAAGCTCAAGGAATGATGCTTCAGGTTGGATGTCAGGAAGTACATCCTGATGGTTAGGACCCTCTAGGATATGGAGTGGGCTTCCATGGGAGGTGATTGAGGCCCCATCAAATTTCATTATGTCTTTATACAAGGTTAGCACCCAACCTATGTCAAAGCTGAAGAAAATGCAAACATGAACATCTCTGCATACAAGTCTCCCTCATTTCTCAGTGCATATATTGGCTATTTTTAGCACATGTCTTGGGATTGTGACTTGTGGTGCCTTGTTTATGAAATAATAGCTGGTTAACATGTCTGAGAATATTTGGGTATGTTTATGCATATAGTAGTCTTAATTGATTGTGGGGGTCAGGCTAGGTTTTACTTTACTATTGTAAAACTTTAATTCAGCATTGATCAGTGAAAATTAAAATAATATAATGTGAGTGATATAAATAGATAAAGGGCTCACAACATTTTAGATGACTATTTGATTTGTTGTATATAATTGCTAATAATATAAAATGATTTCTATTATTGTGCTATGTATGTGTGCATGTGCACAGACTTTTAATAATCTAATGGACTGCATACAATTTAAGCTCTTGCAAGGAAAGTTAGAAAGATAGAAAACAGAGCGAGTCAGAAGGGGACTCCCAGGCCATCTAGTCTGACCTCCGGCACCAGCCGGCTCCGCTCACGACATGCCCACCATGTGGACATCCAGCCTATCCTTGAACACCCGCACTGTTGGGGCCTCAACCACCTCCCGGGGAAACCCATTCCACACCCTAGGGGTCCTGACTGTTAGGAAGTGCTTCCTGGCATCCAAATGGAACCTTGGCTCCCTGAGCTTTGCTCTGTTGGAGCGCGTTCTGCCTTCCTCTGCAGGGGAGAACAGGTCTCTACCCATCTCCATGTGACATCCCCTCACATACCTGTATGTTGCCAACATATCCCCTCCGAGTCTCCTCTTCTCCAGACTGAAGAGACCCAGTTCCCTCAGCCTCGCCTCATACGGCATCCCCTGGAAACCGGCCACCAACCTTGTGGCCCTGCGCTGCACTGACTCTAACCTGACTATATCCTTTCTGTAATGAGGGGCCCAAAACTGAGCACAATACTCCAGTTGCGGGCACACCAGTGTCATGTAGAGTGGTAGTAATACCTCTCTTGATCTAGAAGCCACACTTCTGGCTATGCAACCAAGGGTGGCATTCGCCCTCTTGACCACCGCATCACACTGCTGACTCATGTTTAGCCTGCAGTCAACCAGCACCCCGAGGTCCCTTTCACAAGTGCTGCTCTCCAGCCACTTATCACCTAACCTGTACTTATGACAGCTATTCCTGTGCCCCAAGTGCAAGACCTTGCACTTATCCACATCGAACACAATCCTGTTGTCTCCTGCCCACTTCCATAGTCTTCCATAGAAAGTTGCCCTTCTCTCAGCTGTAAGTGGCTTCCACGATACAGCCTCTGGTGCCCCATCAACCGCTACTGAGGGTTGAGCACTGTTGTGAAAGGGGAAAATCAGGAGAAGCTGGGCAGAGTCAATTAAGGGACACAATTATGGGTATCAAAGGCACCTCACTGTGTTGGTTAGACATGCCAGGAAGACTTTCATTTATTGCTGCTTGATCAGAAAGAGTAGGGGTGACTTCACACAGAAAGAGAGCCAAGAAATTCATCTGGGATTGGAAGCAGAGGTAGGAGCATGTCCCAGTGTAGCTTTATTGAGGGATAAGCTGTCCTCAGTGCATCAATGCTGTGTACTCAGCACTCAGATGGGAAAGAATCATAGGGCCTAAAACTCACACAGGGGAAAGATGTGCAAAGATCTGAAACATAGCACTCTCCTGTTATGGAGATCTGTTATTCTGCATTGTTATGTGCTAAAGTAGAATACACAACCAAGCATCCTTCCAGCTCTCTCTGCACTCAACCTCTGAGCTTGCAGCCATCTAAGAGAGTGCTTTCAAAGGCCTGTCTGGCCAAGTGGAAGAAAACAGCACCTCCTCACACAAGCCAGGAGTGATTAATCCTTTAAAAGTGCATGTTCACTCTGCCAATACAGGAGTTTCAAGTAGGCATTCACAAATGGAATTTTCAGCAGATGACAAGAGAGAAATAACTGGATCAGCAATCTCATAGATCTCTAGATATATCCTTGTTTCCAAATGAGGTAGTTATACTTTGAGACCCTTAACATCATTAGGGCTTCAGGTTTTCAAATGCTATATCTTACATTAGTTGAATCAGTTTCCTTCTCTGAAAGGTACCTGGCATTGTAGTTTAATAAGTTTTTTTGATGATGCTTTAGGAAACAAATGACTGAGTAGGGAGGAAGCATCCTTCACACAGGAATGCCTAATCATATTTGCTACTGATTTATCCTTTTCTGTTGAAATGCAAATAATGTATGTGTGGTGTTACAAATTTCAATCTTCCAGGCATACAAATGGTATGAACTTGGGCATCAACGGGGCCACTTTGCATCTGTCTGGCAGCGCTCTCTGTACAATGTCAAGGGTTTGAAGGCACAGCCATGGTGGACAGCAAAGGAAACAGGTTATACAGAATTGGTCAAGGTTAGTTAGCACTGCCATTTTCTTTATTTTATAGTTTAAGACTGTAATCCTAAATATGCTTAAGGGATGTGGGGGATAGGATGAGTCAACTTAATGCAGTAGAACACACTTCTGAGTAAAGACAGCTGAATCCTCCTACTCTGGTTTCTCTCAGCTTCTCATTCTTTCTGTCCTGTTTCTGTCTTAAGAAACATTTTGTCCTGTTTCTGCACTAGCTTGCGATTTTTAAAACATTTGCATGAATTTCACCTAGATCTTTGTGTGCATTTCTTCTAGTATATTCATTTTTGTAGAATCTTGTCAGATGTATGTATTTTTAGAAGCAATTTCCCCTAATACAATACTTTTTAATTTTTTTCACTTCTATACTTGTTCCTATGTGCATCTTTTCTTTGGATAACTGAATCACAACATTGGAAGAAATGCAAATATCAAACTGTTCCAGTTTGTGCATTGGTTCTAGAGGAGCAAAGAAGGTAGATTTGCCTTAAAAAGTTAACTTTTTTCCTTCCCCATCTCTTAATTTATTTCATTTTTCTATAACCCAATAGCCAAGTCAGTCTGGGTTGTTAACAAAAGTTTTTTTAAAAATTAAAACACACAAACATAAACAATAAAATTAACTTAAAACAACAAACCACAATAGGGATTTCAACTGAATTAGCACAGAAGCATAGCAGCAGTGCAGAATAAAATTCAATATTAAAAATGAAGTTAAAAATTTAAGCTGTTAAAATGCTATGACGATTTTAAAAAATACAAAGCTGGCACAAGGTGCACCTCTTTTGGGAGCCCATCCCACAATCAGAGTGCCACAAACAAAAAGACCCTCCTTCTGGCAGCCACCTGTCTCACTTCCTTTGGAAAGGGCTCTCAGAGAAGAATCCCAGGAAGATGACCTCAAGGTACAGGTGGGAACATAGGGAATGAGGTGATCCTGCAGAAAACCTGGACCAAGCAGTTTAGGGCTTTGAATGTTAGGACTAACACTTTGAATTGGGCCCAAACTTAAACTGGCCGCCAGTGCAGCTGGAAACAGACTTGCGTGATATGTTCTCATGAGCCAGTCCCCATTAAAAGACTTACTGCCCTTATTTGGATCAGTTGAATTTTCTTCAAAGGCAGTCCCACATACAGTGCATTGCAGTATTCCAAATGAAAGCTTACCAGAACATAGGTAACTGTAGCTAGGCTCCCTCTGTCCAGGTAGGGTTATAGCTGGTATATCAGCTTAAGCTGATAAAAGGAGCACCCGCAAACTATGACCCTTGTACTTTAGTGGGAGTGCAACCCCATCCAGAACAGGTTAAATATCATCCAACTGGACTCATGAACCTCCCCCCTTCCCACCCCACCAACAGCACCTCCATCTTGCCTGGATTGAGCCTCAGTTAGTTGGCCCTCATCCAATCCAGACGCCAATTCAGAGCAGCCACTGCCTCACTTGGGTTTCATTAAAAAAGAGAAAGAGAGGTAGAGTAAGCTTACTTAAGATTAGGTTGCAACAGATAGAATCATAAGCTTTTATATTCTTTGTGAGTAATGCAACAACCTGGTGTGTACACAACAAAGGACCCATGGTTTGTTAACCTTGAGTTGTGCAATCTGCTGCTCCTGACTGCTTTGATAAACAAGTCAGGGGCATCCCATTCCCGGGTTGTTTCACATGAACCCAGAACAATGGACTGTTGAGAAATAAACAACCTAGAGTTTTTTAACTCATGTTTTTTTCTTGAGTTAAAACTCTTGATTTGGGTAAAAAAATTCTTAGAATTTTTTAAATTATTTTGGTAGTGTTTCTTCAACTGATCATCACAAGAAATCAAAATGATAATTGTTCAACCTTAGTTCAGATTACATTACAGTTATATATTGAAGAGAATGTATTAAGAAGCAAAGAAAAAGAAAATGCATGTTTGATCAGATGAAGATGACTGTGGTAACTCAGTAATTCACACTAACTACCGGGAGGCAAGCTTTAAATTGCTGAACAATGTAATTAGTGCATAGCAGGTCAATTTCTTATTCCTTGCATACTTGTAACTGTTAGAGTCTTTACTGAGATATTTTATTTCATATGGTCAGCAATGTCAAACCAGTGGAATAAATACAAAAGTCAGACTACACTGAAGGTACTTATCAGTATTTGTAGCCCTCAAAATAGTCAAGTGAATTATTTATAATCACTATTCTTTACACTTCTTAAAGTACAATGCAGTTTCTTATTAAAACTTACATGCCAAGTTAATGAGTTTTGCTTTCTCAATGTAGTTTGCTGGGATTTTTATTTATTTATTTATTAAAAGCTTTTCTATACCATCCTTCACTGAGTCCCAGGACAGTAATGCAATAAAAGCACATCATCAGACATCAATTAACAAAAAATAAAACATATCTTTAAATTACCTCAGAACTTAAAATATCAGGAAAATGAAAAGGTTTTGGCCTGCTGCCGAAATGAATAAAGTGTTGATGCCAGACACAGCTCTCGGGGGAGCATGTTCCATTTTATCTCAAGGACAAGCCCTATACTACAGACCTTAGTGGCCATTTTTATTATGTTTGTCTTAATGGAGTGCTCTGCATGAATAAAAGTTTAATGTTCTTTTTCAACAAAAATAACCTGCATTATTATTTGCTTGTGATGCAGGCAAATGATAGTAAGAAACCAAGCAATCTGGTTTTGTTTTCCTGAATATAGTATGGTTAAATGTAAGTAAAATAATGTTCTCTTCTATTAGAAATGGGTTCCTCTCTTGACTAAAAAGTTAAAAATACAAAAATTGTTAAGCACAGTGAACCTTCATGCCCTCTCAAAACTCTATGCTTCTAACAGCTCCCTCCAATGTATCTATTTAGCCACCAAAAGAGACAAGCACGGGCCCAGGTAGCTGTTCTTCCTTGCTCTTCTCCTCCAGCTAATCCCAAGTAGCCACTGGCAGCTCTGCCTTATACCTACTACAGCATTGCTTGGGTACCAGAGGAGACTAGCACAAACCCAGGTAGCTGCACTTCTTCCCTCTACCTGCTCCCTGTCTATGGATGCTTGCTTCATTGTACAAAGCACGCAAAGTATGTACTTCTGTACCAAGGGCACAAAACCAGTGCATCACGTGTGCAGAAGCAGAACTCCACTTGCACAGTGAGCACATGGATGGCGGGCATGCAGGCTGCTCTCACAGACTGTCCTGGACTCCCTTCCTGCCAGATGCTCACATGAACACTCAGCACGAGGTGCCCTTAGGACAGAGAGAAAGGGGGGCAGCATCCGGGGAGCCAAGTCAAGGACATCCAATGGGTGCTCTTCCCAAACTGGATTCCTCACGCATCATGAGTCACAATGTGGTACACAGAGTCACAAAATAAGCATGACCTGTTACTGAGGACTGACCAGAAAATGGGAAAGAAGGCCACATATTCCCATTCAGAGTAGAACTGGTTGATGTCCTCTCCCAAGTTGAAGCAACCAGCTACATACAAGTGTTCATAGACCTCACATTCATTTCAAAAGATTGCTTGTCAGAGTTATCTGTCTTCAAGAAGCAGCACACAAAACTGTTGTGTCTTAAGCATGCTTAAAACAATCAGATCTGTGTTTTTATGTCTCTTGAGGATATCCACTTGTATCAAAATGTACAAACATACACATGTGGGTATTTATGGGAAACTGAGCTCTTGCATTGTCATGGATCATCGGGAATGGGCTTGGATCACCTTAAATCATTCATGCTTTCAGGTCTTCACAGTGTTTTATATTCTCATGAGTATATATAAACAATCCCCACAGAGGCAAGGAAAACATTCAGACTGAGAAACTGAATGGTCTGTTTCCTCTTCAGTTTGCTTTCTTCTTGGGAGATAAATGGCCTTTTATGGACATGCTTTTAAACACCCAGGCTCTCAGTCCATGCCAAACGCGCACACACAAACATGCAAAGTACTAAATACTTAGACATATTTTAATATGGCTATTATTTTCACAGCATCAACTAAGTTACATGTCAGTTAAATGTGGAGATATTTCTACTATCATGACCAATCTTGGTAGCTGAATTGGTAGCTGGTGCACCATTTCTAAGAAAGCACAATTTCTCTCAAGCTTCCATTTATTTATTTATTTATTTATTTATTTATTTATTTATTTATTAAAACATTTATATGCTGCCCCATTCGCCGAAGCCTCGGGGCGGCTTACAACATAATAAAAAATTACAATAGTAACAATATAAAATATAAAATAACAATATAAAATAAATAACAATATAAAAGAAGTCACCCTGGCCAGATAAATAAGCAAATACTGTTAACAATTAAAATGATGCTTAAATAAAAAGGTCTTCACCTGGCACCAAAAAACAAATAACGACAGCGCCAGGCGGACCTCTCTGGGGAGTGCATTCCATAGACTGGGGGCCACCACAGAGAAAGCCTCCTCCAAGTACTTACCCTCCTAATTTCTTTCACGGAGTGTTCCCAGAGAAGGGCCTCTCCCGCAGATCTCAAGGGGCGGCCAGGCATATATGGATGTAAGCGCTCCTTCAGGTAACCAGGACCCAAGCCGTTTAGGGCTTTATAGGTCATCACCAACACCTTGAATTGGGCCCGGACTTCAATGGGAAGCCAGTGAAGCTGACAGAGGACTGGAGTCATGTGTCCCCGTCAGCAGCCTGGCAGCTCTATTTTGAACCAACTGAAGTATCCGGACCATCTTCAAGGGTAGCCCCACGTAAAGCACGTTACAGAAGTCCAGACAGGAAGTCACCAGCGCATGTGTCACTGTCGCCAGGCAGTCGTACTC